AATATAAATGTTCACTAAAAATGACTGGGCTCTCACTATCTGCCAGCACTTGAAGGCACTGCTGTGTCTCATCCTCACAGCCACGTCTGTGCCGATACCGTTACCACTCGCGTACCGTGTTTCGCCCAATCACCTGGAGTTCGGAGAGGTTGGGTTACTTGCCTGGTGTGGGTCTGGGCTTCAAACCAGCTGCCCTAACTCCAGAGCAACCATCACTACTGCTGCTATGATTATTAATATTGCTATTGGAATCTATTATTGTTAATAATCTACTGTTGGAATCTAGTATTATTATTGGAGGGAAAGCTTCCAGACAAAGCGAAACCTGAAAAATGAGCAGGAGTATCTGGAAAAGGTGGAGAGAGAATGCAGTCTGTCTGGAAATGGAGCTCCCTCCGTCTGCTGGAGCCCAGGGATGGGAGGAGATGCTAGAAGGTCGCTCATGGGCAGGGCTGTAAGTCAGCCTGAGAAGTCTGCACTTGATCTGGAGACTGGTGGGGCTGTTGGAGGCCCCTGGGGTGGGTGAGTCGCTGCCCCATGTATCTGAGTGTGTGTGTGAGTATGCCCATGTGGATGAACTACAGGCTGCCTGGGGCCGACCTTCCCCGGCTCCTTTGCCCACAGGACCCACTCAACTACTCATTTACTCCTCCATACGGGGACTGCACCAGTCGGACTCCTTCGCCAGGCCTGGGAGACCTTGTGCCAGACTCCTGCCCAGCCATTTTCTACCGTTCCACCTCAGTCCCCTCTCACCAGCTACAGAAACACTAAACCTAATGTTCCTAGGCCCTCCAGAGAAGCCTGTCTCAGTCCTGCTGACTCACCCTCTGGTCAGTCCTTTCCCGCCAGCTCCACTGAATGACCCCAGACCATTGTTCAAGGTCGAGGTCCTCTGCAAAGTAGAACGCCACCCTGTGCACAAGTCCTGGCTCTGGCACTTAGGACTTGCATGTCATACCCATGAGGCCACGGTTTTCTGAGTCTTGAAGCCGGGAGAACATGCCCCTAAGGCTGCCGTGTAATTGACTGAGACCCTGCATGGACATGCTTAGTACCTGGCCCCGTACATGGTGAATTAGAACCTGGCCCAGGAGCGCAGCAGCACATGCTTGAATCCCTCACCCAAAGTCAAGTTCCTCTATCTTCCCTTCCTCCCTCCAGTTTCCAGCCTCACATTCTGGAGGCAGCTCACGGGTGAACTCATTTCCGATTGCCACAGCCAAACAGAAAATGGTAATTAATTCAGCTGGATCCGTAAGGGAGCTGAAGATTTGGCTTGTATTAGTGATCTGACGTTAACATGTACTTTATGCTAATTGCAGCCAAAGATGTGCCTTTCTCCTCTAAATTGAGACTCAGTCCTATTCATAAGATCACATCACTCTCGGTAATGAGGAGCCTGGCAGACGGTCAGATGGTCTGCTGCATGGGCCGGGGGAAAGGTGATGAGGAAAGGGACAAAAGGATGACAGCACAGAGAATGACAGCTTTTCAAGAGCCCCCTCCCGGGGGGGAGCAGCTTTGGAGAGCAAGGGGAGTCTGTAGCCACCCCCTGAACCTGCAGCAACTTCCACCCGAAGGGTGCTGCTAGAGGATGTGCTGACCAGGACCCAGCATGGGGTTGGCTCCACGCTCTCCAGCATTTGCCACGGCCCAGAGGCGACATGAATCTTTGTTGCAAATGGAGAGATGCATGTCCAGCGAGGCTGCCTCCTGGCCTCATCCAGGCCGCCCAGCTGAGCAGAGGCAGGACTCAGACCCAGGTCTCAGATGATCACGAAGCCCACACTTTCCTTTCCCCCAGCGAGAGTCCGGGTTAGTCTTAGCATCTGGATTACTGCCTGGCAACCACTCACTCCCCTCTGGCCCTGCTGTGGGCGGAGCTCTCTGCCCCACAACACTGACCCAGGGCTTCACCATCACTTGCTCTGGCAAGCAGACCACGAGGAAGATTACAAATTGCCAAAAATTCTTTGCCCCTTCTCCCGCCCAGAAGAGGAATCTATTCCTCACTTTGTCCCCTTGAATCTGATCAGGCCTGCAGCTGGTTTTAACCAAAAGACTGTGGCAGAAGTGATATGTTCTGGAATCTTGGCCTTACGAGGCCGTGCCGGTTTCACTCTCGCCATCTTGAAGGAGGTCAGGTGGGGCTATGGAGGGTGTGAGAGGTCTGGGGAAGGACTGAGGCATGCTGGGTGATGGCCAGCACCAATGGCTGGGCAGGCAGTGAGGTTGCCTTGGACCTCCCAGGCGTTCCAGCTCTGTCTGCCACTGCATGAGCGAAACCAGGGGAGGGGCTGCCTAGTCCACTCACAGAACTGTGACAAATAATCAGTTATTGGTGCTTTAAGCCACCATGTTTGAATAAGTTGCTTGCAGTAATAAAAACTGATGCAGAATGTTTTTAGCCACTGTGTGTGGATAGGTTGTTTGCAGTAATAAGTAACTGATGCAAAATATTAGTAAATATTGCAGGAGCAGAGGTCTTAAATGCACATGAGTGGTTTGACTTGGCTCTGGCACTCTGGTGATGGACGAGAAGAAGAGCAAGCCCTGGTGACCGCTGCCTCTTCAGCCTCACAAGAACAGGACAAAGGCATGTGGTGCAGATCTGGGCCCGGCCCGCAGTCTGGGGCCACCCCTACCCAACTCATAGCCAGAAACAGAGGCTATTCTAGAGTAACTGAACCACAGACAAGCTGTAGATCCTGGGCATGCAACTATTTGGTGTCATAACCCTCTGAGTTTGGGGGTGGTTTGTTATGCGGCATCACTGCAGCAGTAGCTGACTGATACACTCATCCTGCCTCTCTATAACCCACACATTTTTATAGCAGAGACTGGGTTCCATGTAAGAGACAGTGTCCCTATTTTTCCCAGCAGAGATTCGACGTTATTTGCACAAAGCTGCAGGAACAGAGAACATGGTGTTGTGTAGTAGGACTCGGTCAGTGGTGTTGCTGCAGCTCAACACAGCCATTTACTGGAGGGAACGAAGGGCTGAGGGTGGAGACATGGTGTGGGTACCCAGGGGCTCCTCCCAGTGGGCTGTAAGGTCCCAGGTGGATTATCTGTGGCAGGTAGAACAGGAGAGGCAGGTAAGGGATGGCTTTTTGACTTGCTCTGTCTCAGCTGATGCTGGGGAGGAGGGAGTATGTACTTAGAAAGGGAAGGCACAATGCTGTCCCCGGTAAAAACGGAAGCTCACCTTTACCAGAGCTCTGGATTCAGCCCTGTCTCCCCAGTGGTCACTGCCTGACCTCTGATCGCAGCAGGCTGGAACTCCCGCTGGAACAGCTCAGAGCTAGCTCCCCAGGCCCTTCTGCATGGCGGTCCCAGGTTACTCAAAGCTACTGGAAATAGGATAGAGGTGCCTCCCCACTGCTTACTGATGTGCCAAGGAGGTGGCTGGAAGCTACAGGGGGCTTTAGGGTCCTCCGAAATGGCACAGAGGAGCCGGGAGGCCCACTGCAGGGCTCACACACAGGGCTCGGCACCCTCCATAGTGACTGCTAAGGACGGCATGTCTACCTTGCCTTTGCAACCAAGAAAAGAGCTCTGATCCTCAGTCACTTACGCAAAAGATAAAGAACAGGAAGAAATCATGCTCCTGAGCTCCAGCGTCTCTCCAATGCCCGCTGGTGACGTCAGCACTGAAAATAATGCCAGTCAGCCCCGACTCATTGCGTTGTTTCTCGGGTCCAGACAACGGCAGACATTCCCGCCCCTCCTGCTTGTTAGCAGTTGGTCAGCAATCAGGTCACACACTGGGCCAACCAAGGAGAGTGGCCAGTGGACATCTTCAGGGGTAGCCTTAGGTTGGCGGATAGTCTGAAGAGCAGAAGCTGCCAATGGACATCCTTGAGCTGAATGTAGTTAATGATGGGTTTTACGATTTGCAAAAATACTTTACGTGGGGTCCCTCGCTTGCTCCTCAAAAGAAGCGTGTGGGGTGGGAATTATTAACTCTATTTTATAAGCGGGGAAGCTGAGGCTCCGAGACGCATCTGAAATTACCCTGAGTAATAGTGCTGGCCATCACTCCAGCCTCTCTCTCTGCCCTCTGCTCTCAGGACAAGGCTGCCCCATCTCAATCCCTTCTCTTGCCATCAGGCCCTGCTGCTGCTGCGCTTCACCAGGAGAGAGGTTAGTCTGGGTCATGCAAACAGGGGACCACTAGCTCCAAGCTCTGCATCTCAGTCCCCAGCCCCCTCCTACGGCAGCCTCTGCTGACAGACCTGCCCCCAGCCGGCATTCTGCCCTGGAGACCTCACCCACCCGAGGCTTTCCAATGCCTGGCTGGGAAAGTATGCCCCTGGAGGGCCCGACACACGCCCAGAGGTACCTGTGGCGGGTTGCATGGGGCCCTGCCCCCAAAGACATGTCCACCTGGATCCTGTGAGCAAGACCTTTTATGGAAAAGGTGTCTTGGCAGCTACCATTAAATTATGCAAATGTATTAGTTAATGATCCTGAGATGAGATCATGCTGGATTTGGTGGGCCCGAAATAAACCCAATGGCAGTGACTTTAGAAGGGAAGACGGAAAGGAGAAGGCAGTATGACGACGGAGGCAGAGGTTGGGGTGATGTGTCTGTGAGCCTGGGGGTGCCAAGGACGGCCGGCAGCCGCCAGTACCGGGAGGAGACACGGCCGAGACGCCCTGAGAGCCTGCAGAGTGCACATGCCTCTGCCAACACTTTGATTTTGAACTTTTCATCCCGCTCCTTGCCTTCCCATTCAAGAGCATGCATCAGCATGCCAAGGCCAATGTCATTATTATAGGACTGTCTCGCATCCACTCTAATTTAGATACAGAAAACATACATAATTTTCCAAATGACTTAACGATTTTGTCTGTCTTCAAAGTATTTGAAACAGTGAACTATTCTCAAAACTGAGAACACTGTCACAAGACTCACGACTCCTCTCCTGAACCTCTGGACTAGGGGGTGAACTTGGGAAGGGTTTTCACCTGTGACAATAAGCCAGACTCACCTTTCTCCTGAGCCATCTCTTGCAGGCAGAAGTAGATGACTCTGGCTCCCAGGCTAAAGCCAATCAAAGTGACAGGTCGCCGGCCCTGAGGGAAAAAGGACACACGTGTCTGGGATGGGACCCAGCCACTTCTAGCAAAGCCTCAGCCCTGACAAGGGCGGCCCTCACACACTCCCCAGGGCCTGCCTTGACCTTAATGAATGGTGTGTGTGCCACTCCCGGCCCTCGTTCATGCAGGGCGCACCTGACTGCGGAGCCAGCTGCCTTGGGGCTAAGAGGCAGCTGGGTTAATTCCCTTCCACCTCACACAATTATCCAGCTGCTGGTCTCTTCTGCCCCTAGAGACAGGACTCACCCACCTCATGGCAAAAGACTGCAGTGAAGTGGGGCCTTTCTGGAGCCAGGGAGGGGAGTGGAAGGTACCCCAGGATGCAACAGGAAAAAAAGGCAGAGTGACATGGCAGGGTCAGCTGTTCTGTTTCTAGACAGGCAGGTGGGACCGGAAATGTCGGTCTTGCATTACAAGAGTAGGCAGTGAGTTAGACATAAGGAGGAACTTCCTGACTAAAGAATCTGTAGAAAAGGCAACTCATAAGAAAAAGGAAGTTATCTGGGGTGTCTGGTACCAGTTCTACTTGGAAGGGCAGGGAAGGCGAAGATGAGTCCAAAGGTCGTCTGGTCTCACCAGTCTATTCCTTCTCCTTGTTTCTGTGCCAGTAAATGTGTCCACCCTCCCCACCTGCACCCCTCCCTTACCACCATAGAAAACTGCTGACGTGCATTCCGGTTCTGCAGGACACTGGTGGCGAAGGCTGCGCTCCATCTCCCGACGCCCATGCACCGCCCCCCACCCCCATGGCCTTGGTGACAGAACTCCTGAGTTTTCTCGGGCTACCCAGCCAAAGACTGAGTTTCTCTAACTCCCCGGTAGCTAGGGATGGTGCCACAGGGCTGAGTCCTGGCCAAGGACGCGAAGGGAAGCAACAGATGTGACATCCAGGTACACCCTTCACCCCCCTTTCCTGCCTCCGACTGTCTGGAATGCAGGTGTAACCCGGACCACGTTCCCTGGCATTGGGACCACTGACAATGTGCTCAGAGGGTCGCTCTATACTTCCGGGAAGAAACACCTGGCCTCGTCTATCCCTGCAGGTGCCTCAGTTATTCAGTTCTCACCTAGTCACCTGCTGGGGATGCACAGCCTAGACCTCTTACTGGTCTATCCCAGAATGCTTCCATGACTCGAACTGGAGGAGCAGCAAAGACCACCCACTCCCCAAAGCCACTGGGCCACCTCCACACAGATGTCTTTAGGGCCGACACCCACACACGAGCCAGCCCCGTCATTTCCCTGCTGGGTCCCCACCACAGCCATTCCCAGGTACCTGCTGCCGGGAGAGCAAGATGTGGGCCAGGTGCTTGCCGACCTCTGCGGATCGATGGAGACACACCCCCCAGGGGTTGTCGATGACGCTGGCGACACTGAGGAGTGAGGCCGGCCAGGTCAGGGCAGCCACGATGCCTGGGAAGGTGACATGGGAGTGATGTGGGCGGTGGGGGTCCTTGTCAGGAAGTGGCAGGCTGGCTAATGGCTGCCCGAGCGAGTGCACACAGTGTCTCTCACTTGGGACCTGTGGGCTCTCCAAGGGCTGTCAAACCGCTCAGGGCCACAGGAGAAAGTGGAAGCTCACGCGTGTCAAACCCACGGACCAGATCCCTGTTGTTCGGGCATCTGACATGAGTGAGCTTCCAAAGATGGTCCCAAGTAGTCACTCCACCCGGCACCCTCCCACTTGGCCTCATCACTCTGCCAGGTACCTGCCCCTGCCCTGCCCATCCAGAGTGGGCTCGGCCGATGAGATGTTACGAGACGTGAGACCTCAGACAGACTTGTGCATGGAGGCTGGCCTCTCCCGCACTCCACCACTGGTGTGGGCTGGCCTGCTGATCCCAGGAGGGCGAGAGACAAGGAGAATGGAGCCACGTCGCCCTGGCTGTCCCAGATGAGGCCAGCCTAGATCAGTGGACAGCCAGCTGACCCTCAGATGCATGAGCAAGCCTGGCAGAGGTCAGCCCCGTGAAGCCTCATGGCTCCTGAGCTATTAGGATAAACGAGTGTTATTTTGAGTCGCTGAGTTTTGGGGTGGATGATACATCGTGTGGTAACGTGACCGGCTGTCCCCGTCTCCTCCCACAAACTTCTCAGCCCCGCTGCGCTTCTCAGACAGGAATGTGGTCTTAACCTCTGTGTTCTGAGCGTCCAGCAGAGCGCCTGGCTCAGTGGGGCCCCTGCGGTGCAAAGCTATGGTACCAGTGTGGGCTGGGAGCAGTGGGCATGTTGCTGGCGGTGGGGACAGGGAGACTTACCAGACAACATGGTGTACTTTAGGGCCTCCTGGGCCACCATGTTGGCGAGGCCACTGAGGATGGTCTCCAGGGCGTTGCCGAGCTCCATCAGGTACTTGGCCTCCCAGGCCAGGCAGTACTGCTCGCGGCTGTGTGCCAGGGTGGCCCACGGGGCGCTGAAGGTGCCTGGGAGGACATGGGTGGGTGGGGTCTCCCCTGTCTGTGCCAGAGGATGCCCCACCTCACTTTCCCAGACCGGGGACCACTCACCCTCAGGGGCAGACAACAGGCCCACCCCTGCCGATGAGTGGGAGCTGTGAGCGGAGTGGATGGAGCACCCAGATAGAGTGTGGCACTACCCTAAGAGTCAGCTGGCTGGGGTTCGAGTCCCAACTCCTGCATTCATTACTAGATGGGTGACCTTGGCACATCACTCTGCCACCCTGAGCCTCACTTTGCTTGTCTGTGAAGTGGGGAGATTAATACTTATCTCCCTTTACAGAGTAGTTAATAGAATTAAGTGTGAACTATTATATAGGAAAGTGGCATTCTTTTGATGTCCTGCATTAAAGCTGGCATCAAGGTGTCGAGGACATACAATGGGAATGCACTAGGGGACAAGCAGGGACCCTGGGAGTCAGCATTGTCTCATTCAATGTGCACCGCCTGGGAAAGGCTGGTCGTTTGGGGCAGAGGTATTGGAGCCCAGCTCTGCAGTGACCCCGTGAGCTCACCCAGCTCTTTCTGAGCCTGTTTTTTCACTTGGGGACTGTAAATGGAAGAATAGTGACAGTGACCAAGGTCAGGCAGGGAGTATGGCCACCACTGTCTGCCTCCCTCTCCCTGCTCCTGGCCCCCTCCCTGCCCTGAGGACAGTGTCACCTTCCAGTGGACATGCAGGCCCTCTGCGACCTGGCTTTCTCACTTGCTGCTTTCTTTTGGGTCATTTAGACGACCCATGGCTTCCGCCCTCGGGTCCCTGAGATCTGGGAACTGGGGGGCTCTGAGCATGTGCGCCTGGCTGCGTGCCCAGGATTCCCCGGCCCACCCTCACCTCCCTCTGAGTGATAGCTCTGTGCTGGGCCTCACGCTGGGGATGTGTGGGCCAGGCAGGGAGCGGGTCATGCCGTCAGTCCTCGGTGCCACCAGGTGGAGGACACACCTGTTCAGGTTAGAGCAGGAAAGGGAACTATGCTGGTGGAATGCCAGTTAGAAACCAGGGGCCCTTGATACGCTATCTTGTTTAACTGAATCTTTGTAAGTACCTTGAAAGGCAGGAACATGTAAGCTGTTCACTTTCTAAATGAAGAGCTGAGGCACAGAGAGGTTCAGTAATTTGAGTGAGGTCACACAGCCAAGGCATACTGATCTCTCTCACCTGTGTGCTTAAGTCCTTTGCTGTCTTCCACCTGCTCTCAGGACAAATTCAAACTCCTGGCCTCACCTGCTCCTGTGTGATCTGCTCTGGCCCTGCCCACACTTCTGCCTCCTAGCTCCCTGCTCCGGCAGCCTGTGCTCCTTTCGGTTCTTTTGCGCCACTGGGCCTTTGTACATGCTGCCCCTTGGCTTGGGGTGCACTTCTTGCTCCTTTATCCAGCTGATTCCCAGTCAACCCTTAGCCTGAAGGTCACTTCCTCCAGGAACCTTTCCCGAATTCCAAAGAGATGCTCTGTGCTTCCCCTATTGTGCTGCCCACAAAGCTCTCTGTGATGGTCACTTGCTTAGCCGTCTGTCTGCTGCCTCAGACCAGGTGTTCCACGGGAGCGGAAGCTGCAACTCTGTCACTGAATGCCTGGGGGCTGGCTCGGGGGCCGGCACACAGTGTGTAGTGCCCTACACATACTGCTGGACAGATAGATGCAGAGGCGGAAGGGTGGGTGAACAGATGGACGGGTAGGTGGCTGGGTGGGTAGCAGGATGCACAGACGGCTGGCTGGATGGATGATGGATGGACGTGTGGATAGATCGGTGGGCGGGTGAACGGACAGTTAGATGAGGGGACCACAGATGGAGGGACGACAGGTGGCTGGGTGAGTAGATGGACATGGGAAACAGGCTCCTCACTGCTCTGAGCCTGTTTTCTCCTCTGCAAAGTGGGGCTCCCCTCCCCACCCTCTAAAAACATATACAGGCAAGAGCCTAGGCCAGGGTCTGGCCACGACCAGCTCAGCCGACATCTACCCCCCTCAACATCCTCTGCCCCGGTCCTCACGGTATCTGCCGGACGCCAGCCACCCCGTGATGGCGATGGTGATGCGCAGCTGCCTGCCTTCCGTCAGAGGCAGAAACGTGAACTCCTCGATCGCCCCAACACGCTTCTTCATCTTGTACCCTGAAGACCCAGACACACGAATGGGAATGGAGGCGACCGTGGACCCCGGGAACGTTCGTCAGGGGGGGCTCCCTGGGCTCGCATTGTGCACAGTGAGTGCCGACCGTGTGCCCTGTCCTAGGACAAATGTCTCATTTTTCAACTCATTAAGGTAGGTGCCATTACTGTCCCCAATTATGGAAGAGAGTAAGAGGCTCCCACAGGCTGGCCGACCCCCGAGTGCAGAGCTGGGGTAGAACAGAGGACCCAGGCGTGTAACCGCCGCTCTGTCCTGACTCAGCTGGTTCCAGGTCCTTTTTCCTGTCCACAGACTTTGGGGGTCCACTGTGCTCCTTTCAGTAAAAGGGGATCAGACTGACCAAGATCCTCAGTGCAGAGAGTGACATGCCTCCTGAAGAGTGGGACAGCGACCTCTGTGGGACTCGGAGGCTGCTGATGCATGACTCGGGGAAACTCCCCCAAAAGATGCCGGTACATGGAGGGTGGCCATGTGCTCTCTTACACGAGGAAGCTCAAAGGTCTCCGAGGAGGCCCGTCTGGAAACTTCCCAAGCAGAGCCCCTTCTCAGGAAGTCTGCATGAGGTGCAGTTTCTCAGACTCAGCCCTCACACCGACCTGTGCCAAGCTCTTGCCCAGTTCTAATAGGGCCGGAACTGGCATGAGAAAAGCCACGTGCTCCTCCTTTGTCTCCTGGGAAGCCTTCAGTGTCACCGGGAAGAATCTGGGTGTGTCCTTCAGAGGCTGGGCTGCCCTGGCTGAAAACCCCTCACATCCCCGCACTGCTCTGGAACTTACCCGTCAAGCCAGCTCCGGCGGCACCGAACAGCGAGGTCATGACAGCTATGCCGGCCACCGAGCCCAGAGCTGCTGCCCCGGCACTGCCGATGATCGTGGCGGCCCCAGCAGCAACAAGAGGGGCAGCCAGACCCCCGGTCACACCTGTAAGGAAAGCATCATAAAGGCGGGAGTGCGGATGTGCCCTGCTGGGTTCTTCCCCCATCAGCTGCCAGCCAGCTTCTACGGAGGCTTCTAATAACATGAATGAATACACTGTGGAAGGAGCACCTACTATGTGCCCAGGGGCACCGTCCCGCCCGTCTCCCGCCCTCTCCACTTCCAGACTGACACCGTTCCTCACTCCGCACTGTGCAGACTCACGTGCCCCCTCCTCCCCTCGAGCTGGCCTTACCGATCACTGTCCCGCCTCCGACAGTCGCCAGGCCTATCAGGAGATAGCGCTTCCACTTCCTCCGGTTTTCTTTCTTCTTCCTGGACGCCTCGGCCGTTCTGGGGAAGGAGAGGTTGGTCTTTAGGGTCAGCTGTGCCTGGGACCCCCTGAGGCCTCCCCATCTCCCCAACCCCTATCTGGGAGCAGTGCTGGATACTCTGTCATTCAGAGCAAGGTACCACGTCACCCTGGGCCCATCGATGCTTTTAAAAACCTGGGGAATCCCAGTGCGTGGGATGCGCTACTTACCCAAAGGATCCATCCTAACAGGGTTGCAATTTGAATAATGAAAAGACAAGAAAATGACGATAATAGTAAAAGAAGCACAAAAATGATCTTTCAGCAGGTGGACCCGGATGAGGACCAGGTAGAATCACAGACTCCACCGCCTCCCTCCTTCCTTCCCTTCCCCTCAACATCGGAGCTCAGTCTCCTTCTGGGATATTTGGAGACCAATATCCTTCAGAATAATCATTTCAAAGGTGAGTTACTAGAGAAATGCCTGCCCTGGAGACCTTGGCCTTGGGGCAATAGCTAGAGTCGTTCAGACATGAAATGCAAATGCTGCACATGCAGCAGAAGGGAAGCCTTTAGAGTGAACTGGGGCCTGTGAGCCCTGCGCGTAACCATCTCGAGGGCTCAAGAGCATCGTTAAGCCCCGTTTTCCTGTGGGACACCCAGTCCTCGGTGCTTTGGGACAACTCGGGGCAGGACCAAGGGCAGGTTGGGGAGGTCCCTATGAGTGCAAACTCTGACCTGAAGTTGGAGTTTGGACAACTTGGTGTGAGGACCGATAGCAGACGGGGACCATAAAAGAGGAGTGGTTAATGTTTACTGAGGGGTTCCTGCACGCCAGCTGCCACACTGTGTGTCTCACGTGGGAGAGCTTCTCCCAGAAGCAGCATTATTTTTGTCCCCCTGTTCGGAGGAAGGGCTAATAGTGCCACCTCTGGGGGGGTGCTGGGGGGTCAGGGAAGAGAACATCCACAAAGCCCGGCGTGAGCGCCTACAAACTGGCCCCCACATTTCCTGAGCCCGTTTCCTCCTGTGTACAATGGGGATAATAACATCTACCTCTTAAGGTAGCTGGTTTGTGAGGATTAAATTCATTCCTTCTTCCTCCACTCAATCCACACTCGTTGTCTGAGAGTGGACAACATGTGGGACCCTCTGGGCGCCAGGTGCCGGTGAGCAGAATAAGGCGGTTTGAACCAATACCTGTCTCCTTCCCATCCCTTCCCTCTAGAGCCACCCCTGAGGGTGGGACATAGAGTCGCCCTCCAGTCATCAAAAAGGACCAGGGCCTGACTTGGGTATTCGGGGATCTGCTCTGGTTTTTGGGGTCCTGCTAGCTCAGCTCAGCCAACTTTTGCCCTGAGCAATTGCTGGGCGGACTGGCACGGCCCTGCTCGGATGCTTCACTGCGGAGAAGTGGTAACCAGGGATGACAGTCTCCACACACGTCACAGGCCCCTGATCTCCCTGCCTGAGATGTATCTGGCGTGCGGTGTGAGGTGTTCGGAGCCGCACACTTCTAGCCGAGTGGAAGGTGGAGGGCAAGGAAGCACCTGGGAGGTCAGGACTCCAGCCCTGTCGGCATGGGCTGAGCGCTTCCTCGGCAGGGGTGCTGGTGTGTCACCCACCGCTCACTGAGTCCCCATTAGCCCTCCCTGCCCCGGTCTCCCCACAGGAAGTGTGCACAGCCCTCCCCACTGAACCACAATGAAACGTAGGTGGGAAGAATGTGTGGCTGCTGGCAAAACCTATGAGTCAGTGCAGGAGACTGATAAGTCTCCTGTTCTGCTCTGAGAACAGCGGTGTTCCAGAGAGAGAGGTCACGCTGTCAGCCTGGGACCCAGAACCAAGACAGTGTGGACCAAAGCCACAGCTGGTCAGCAGGGGCCATGTCATACAGACAAGAAATGCACCTGTGTGGCTCTAAGTCACTGAGATTTGGAGGTCATTTGTTAATGCGGCAAAGACCATCCTGATGGAGAGAGCCCCATCCTCATCCAACAAGCGGAGATAATAATGACACTAATTCCCAGGGGTATTGTGGGAGCTGTAGGCAGTAATCCAGATACAACACTGGAGTGTTGTAATCGTCTGATATGTTTGTTGCTATTATCATGGCGTTCGTCATTAACGATAGTTTCCTCCTACACACAAGAGATATACTTTGGCCCTTAACTGCTAGCACTAATCAGGGCAAAGATAGGAAGGCTGTAAAGGAGTTGCTTTTGGCAGAGGTCAAGGCCGGAGCAAAAATTCAAGTTGTCGAGGACATACAATGGGAACACACAAGGGGACAGGCAGGGGCCCTGGGAGTCAGCATCGTCTCATTCAACGTGCACCACCTGGGAAAGGCTGGCCGTCTGGGGCAGAGATACTGGAGCCCAGCTCTGCCGTGACCCCGCGGGCTCACCCAGCTCTTTCCGAGCCTGTTTTCTCACTTGGGGACTGTAAATGGAGGCACGTGACAGCACCATCATAGTGACCAAGGTCAGGCAGGGAGTTCGGCCACCACTGTCTGCCGCCCTCCCCCTCCCGGCCCCCTCTCTTCCCTGAGAATGCCGTTTCCCCCCCAGCCCTCCGCAACTTGCTTGCTTCCTCCACAGACTCACTGCTCATCACTGTAAAAGTAATAATAATTTTTTAACTTAAGTATAGTTGGCATACAATGTTACGTTGGTTATATCAGTTTTAGATATACCATACAGTGATCTGACATTTTTTTAAAAGATTTCATCTACTTATTTCTAGAGGGGGGGCAGGGAGGGAGAAAGAGAGGGACAGAAACATCAGTGTATGGTTGCCTCTCACACACCCCCACTGGGGACCCGGCCTGTAAACCAGGCACGTGCCCTGACTGGGAATCAAACCAGGGACCCTCTGGTTCACAGCCTGCACCCAATCCACTGAGCTACAGCAGCCAGGGCTGATCTGAGATATTTATAGCTTACCACATGACCACCCCACTGTGCACACTTGTCACAATATTATTGACTGTATTCCCCTCCTCCTTTCACCTGCCCCCCGCCCCTCGCTGTGGTAACCGTCCCTTTGTTCTCTGTTTCTGTGAGTTGGTTTGGGGTTGTTTGGTTGCCCATCTCTTCCTAACTTACCCTTTGCCCTCGGGGCACACGGACTTCCCACAGGCCACTGTCTCTGCACCTCAGTGCTGTTCCCGAAGGCCCTCTGTTGCCAAGGAACTTCTCAAAGAACATCCGTGGACCGTCACCTCCTCCAGGAAGCCTGCTCCAGCCCCAAGGTTACTTGAATGCCCTGACTCTGGGTCCTCTAAGCCTCCAGGTGGAAGCAGCCTGCACTTGCAGACCATCCATTTTCGAAGAGTGGGCTTTGCATCAAGTGCATGAGGACCCCCGGGATTCAAAGCCCAGCTTCCTGGGCCAGAAGCTGTGGGCCTGAGGGTGAGGAAGCTGCCTGTCACAAGCTCTCCAGGGACCTGCTCTGTCTCAAGTCTGAGAACCGCAGGGCCAGACCTTCAGGGCGCAGGCCAAGCCCTTCTCACTCTCCACCCTCCGCTGCCGGCCCTGGGCACGGGACCCGAGGGGTGCGCAGACAAGGTTTCTCCAGCAGACCTGAGTCCTCCTGGCCAGGATCAGCCAGAAACCCTTGCTGCAGAGATCTGTCCCCCACTCACTGCCCACATCTAGGAAAATCGGGGGACATGGAACAGAGTGCAGGCCAGTCACCATTGAGAAGGAAATCCTGGTTGTCATAGCTACGTACGGTGCCAGATGCGTCCTGGAAATATTGAGGGACACGCTCTGTAAAGTATGTGATTGCCTAGCCGCTGTGCTGTGTGCTTGAAATCAATACAACATAATACCGCATGTAAACTGTAATTTAAAAAAGTTATTAAAAAACCCCAAATCCTGCGATAGTAGCCAAAGCTGCAATGTATAAAACTTTAATGATTACTACAGACCTATTTTTAAGAATATAGTGGAACTTCTGAGCGGGTGCACTTGACATTTCTCAGAATGGTCCCCCTCCAGACCACTCCTGCAGCGGCATCTGCATGGCCAGGCTGCTGGACAGTCAGCTCAGGTGGCTGGGCTTGTGGCGGGGGAGACCACAGCCTCCAGGGAATAAAGTAATTGAAAAGTAAATATATTGCATTTGTTCTTGAGCCTGTTTGATTCAAAGGTATGAATGGTCGTACATCAAATCCATTTGACAAAGATGGATATTCTAATCTCTAGTATCCTGCTTTGTGTTATTCTTTAAATGTTTCTAAACATCTGCTGAGTCAGAAAGGATGTAATCATTTCCCTTATTTAGCTAAAGGCGCTGTCTTGTAATGTTCACCGGAATTGCCAGTCTATTTCCTTGTGCGTGTAATTACTTGAAAGTTCATAAGAACTGTTTTGTACATAAAATAAAGAGCTTTCCCGGCCATCATTAATCATCAGAGCCTTTAATTCCAGCTATCGCTTCAACTGTCTGAGTTTCCACATCTAAGGCACAAGAGGAGACATGTGCTCTGTGTCACATTGACGACTTGCCCTGTATGTAAGAATTCGGGGCATGAATTTCGATTCAAAGGAAACCCTGTTCCTGTTACTGACAGTGCTTGTTGGTTACGTGTCATGGCCACACTGAGGTTCTGGAAAGCCAGAAATGACCCTGAGCTGGCGTCCTGTGTCAGTCTTCCAAAGACAGAGGCTGAAGCCTAAACGCAGATCCCCGGCCAAAGCCACAGACACCCAGGGAAGGGGCCCCCAGAAGGGGCTCTGCTGCCCATCTCACCGTCCCACAAACCAGGGTCACTCCCTGCCATTTATCCTCACCCTTCGGTCCTCACCACCACCCTCTTCTTTGTTTTAATCCCTTTCTCCCTTGATAGAGAGAGAGAGCTTATCTCGGGGAAGTTTAGAGACACTTCCCTAGTAAAAGAACTATCTTTACTGCTTTCTTCAGACTAAGGAGGGAACCTGGGATGTCCAGCTGGGCCTGGAGGGATGCCCATCAGACTGGACGTGGTGGTAAAATCAGACGGTGCCTCGATCGGCTGCGTGGCCCGAGGCGAGTCATGTTGCCTTCTCTTTCTGTTTCTCTACCTGCAAAACCCTCAGGAGATTGTTCTGACCACTGAATGAGGCGACGGCTCGGGCCTGCATCTAGTCAACACTCAATAAAAGTTAGATAGTGACAATGTCACTGTGACGTGACCCGAGTCAGCCTCCAGCAGTGCGTGCGCTCCCTAACGTTTTCCAAGGCCTGCTGTGTCCCAGGCACTTTTCCAAGCTTTTGATATGCATTAATTTAATCCTTGTAACCGTCTAATGAGGGAGCCACCTCCATGATGCCCGGGTCAGAGATGAAGAAACCGAGGCACAGAGGAGTGAAGTCATCCAACAAGTGGGGGAAGCCTGGATGACCTCTGGACCCGAGAACAGAAAGGAGGCATGTCACACCCTGAGCCCCAGCTGCGAAGGATCGCCTTGGGGTGCCGAGTGATAAGCTCACCTTGCAGAAACACAAAACCTGAGAGTTAAAAGAAGCCGACAGATAATGCCAGCCTCTACTGCTCAGAGAGGGAAGGCAGTGTGCCCAGGGCCACACAGACACCTGGCAGCAGAATCCAACTGAGAACGAGGCTGAACACTCACTATCCTTTTCCTGGGTCTCAGATCCTTCCTGCAGACCATGGACAGAAGCTGAGAGGCCTCCAAAGTCCCTACCACCGAATTTATAAATTCCACGCGTGGAGTGTTCTTCTGAGGAAAGGACTCCTATGGGGTAATAACGGCAATGATAGCAGATACTCCAGCAAACAGTGATGTTCATCAACTAGTGATTCTGTACAAGGCCTGCTTGAAGCACTTTACATGTATGGATTCATTTGAAACCTCCAAGAACCATATGAGCAGGGTGCTATTATTATCCCCATTTTGCAGATGAGGAAACTGAGGCCCAGAGATGTCAACTAACTTGTCCAAGGTCTAACATGGCAGAACTGGGCTGTGTTATTGGCCCAGGGTATACCCTGATCTAACTGCCCGTATAATCAGAATGAGTCCTCTGGGTGATGTATTTCTTTCTGACAACAGGCTTTGCAAATAAGAGCCGAGAGTTTCCTTCATTTCAAGGCACATGAGATACTATCAGTGTTCCCAAACCCTGGCAGGGGGCGGCTCCAGTTCTGAACTTGGCCTCGGGGCTAGATTCCCAGGTGGTCTGGGCTGGTACAACCTGGCTGTTCAGAGCCAGTCATTGTGTCCCAACATGACTCAAGGCTGGTAGACGTGCCTGGTGTGAGCAGCCGGTGATTAGGCTGCGACTGGATCGATTGGTCGCTCTGGGAGCCTGTGCAGGGTGTTTAGCAAAGAGCTGAGCACTGGACACGGTGCCAGGATAATTTCCCTCTACGCACTCAGACTCAGTAGCTGGCAAAGCCACCCCACAGCTGGCAGGTGCAGGGGTACACGGGGGGTGGGGAAGGGCTCATACCTCCCACACCTTTGTGCCAGCCCTGGGCCAAGCACCTTATGATGTGATCACATTCGTTTTTCACAACCACTCTGGGGGCACTCTATCCTCACTCCCGTTACACAGGTAAGAATCCTGTGGCTCAGAGAAGGTGGGGGCACCTGCCCAAGGTCAAAAAAAGCCGATGGATGTCAGAGGTGGGATTTAAACCCAGGCCACTCTGGTCCATGGACAAGAACCTGGTAGGAAGCAGGGGATCGGGGCCACGGAGTGTTAGTCACAAGCCCTTAGCAATCATCCATTCAACCCCTCGTCCTAGGAATGAGGAACAGGGCCCAGAGGGGGAAGCGACTTTGCTGAGGCCCCTCAGTGAGTCCGGGCTGCCCCAGGGACACCCTGTGCACCGTCTCTTAATGGCAGGAAAGGAAAGAGGGGACTGTTATTGGAAAAGGTCTCAATTCCCGCCAGGTGGGGCCAGGGCCACAGGGCTTCCTTACTCGGATTCCTCCTCCTTGGTTTCCTTCAGGCTCTCAAGGAACGTTTCTTCAAGGAGCTCCAGCTCCCCCAAGGGCACTTGGAGGACGGAGGTCATGTGGCAAATGAGGACTCGGGCCCGCGCGTCGTATTGCCCTCAAGAGAGAGAGAAACATGAGCAGAGAGTCAGCGTGGCTCTGGAGAACGGAGAGGTTACCGGCGGAGTAACCGATAAAACCCAAACCCCGCAAATGCCTGAAAGACACAGCTGCACGAGAACTGGCCACTCAGACAACAGCGCAGCTTCCTGGATGGAGTCCTGGGCAACTGCCGAAAACAGGAACTGGCAGCGAGGTAGTGTTGTTTTAAAAAAAGTAGCCAAGGCCAGGTTTTAAAAACAATGTAACCCCCAAGCTCTCAAGGAGACAGTGGCCACCAGTGCCCAGGTGGGAGTGTGCATGACATCAACTCCCTGGAGGGCAGTTTGACCATATTTATATAAAAAAGTTTAAACAATGTGCACCCTCCAAGCCACAGGGCCGGCAGGTAGGGTGGGGGCTACAAAGGGGCGTGGGGGGGTGGGAAATGGGGAGTTAGTGTTCAGTGGGGCAGTCTTTCAGTTTTGCGAGGTGAAGGGTTCTGGAGACGGACAGTGGTGACGGTCACACAGCAGCATGAATGTGCCTGATGCCACCGAACTGTGCGCTTAAATGCGGGCAAGGTGCTAAAGTTTATGTTACTATTTTGCCACACACACACACACACACAAAAACCCGGGGAAAAGATGTGCAGCTCCTTTGCCCCAGGAACTCTACTTCCCGAATTCTAATCTTAAGACAACAATCTCCAATGTAGGAAATACTTAGTAAGTAAAGGCCTCACTGTCGCCTTTGTAACATGAAGGCAGACACAACGGGAGGGTTCTGTTATTGGGGGTTAGATGAGTGATTACAGCACACCGCCCAGTGGAAAACTATAAAGCCATCAAGGAAGATCTCTAAAAGTGTGCAGTCACTGGGAAAAATGCTTATGCAATGAAACAGATGTAAAAAATGGACAGAAAAATGAACATGGGGGGAAAAAAACCCAAAACACTGCATGGAACAAAAGAAGGAAATATGTTAAGAAGAGGGTTTTTTTTTTTGCCTTTGAAGAGTTACCCATTATCGCCTTGGGTTAATTTACAATTGGACCAATGAATCTGTCAGAATCTGACCGGAGGTGTTGTGTCCAAGCTCAGAAGCCTGCAAGAATGGTTCACGAGGAGAGGGCACCGAAAAGGGGTCCAGCGAACCAGCTCCAGGTGAGGGTTTGTCTTCAGGCGGCACGGTGGGCAGGGACCCATGCAAAGGGCCCCTATTCTCCCGAGACTGATGCCATTACCAGCCTAAGCTGTGCCTGATCCCATCCACCAGATGATGTCCCCTGTGTGGCATAAAGGACCCTTCTGGCTCGCCTCTTGGGTGCCTAGCCTTAGAGCACTGCATCGCCCAGCCCCTGAGCCAGAGACCAGGGACGCCCACCGCCCTCCGCCCTCACCCCTTACGTCCCAAGTCTCCCAGTCGTATGGCCTCTATCTGAAAACATCTCTGCCGCATCCATTTCGCTTTCCCACTGAAGGGGCCTTCGGATCACTTTACCCCTCTGGTGAAAAGTTCTCTGGTAACTAGTTAAATCACTACAATGGTGCATCACACAAAGTACGATGTATGTGTTTCTTATGGCTGCTGTAACACACTCCTAGACTTAGTGTATTAAGAAATGCAAGTTGATTATTTTACAGATCTGGAGGCCCAATATCCTAAACTCGAGGTGTGGGTGGGGAGGGCCGACTCCTCCTGGAGGGCCTGGGAGAGAATCTGCTTTCTCCTCGTTCCCAGTTTCCCCTGCAGCCCCTCCACCTTCTGCTTCCCTCATCCCGTCTCCTACTCTGACTTAGAGCCTCCTGCCTCCCTCTTAAAGACCGGTGATTAGGTTGGGCCCCGCCCGGATAATCCAGAAGACCTCTCCATCTCAAGATCCCTGACTTCCTCACACCTGTGAAGTCCCATTGCCACATAGGTGACCGTCACAGGCTCCAGGGATTAGGACATGGACCTCTTTGGGGGAGCATTATTCTGTCCACTGCTTAAATCTTGAACTTCTATTTCCCCCCAGGATGTGGCTTGGCCATCACCGGAGCCGTCTCCCGGGCAGCCCTTAAGTGGGGCCCACTGTGCCTTGCACAGGCCCCTCTCTCATCATCTGCTCCATCTCCTGTGTCTGCCTGTGTTCTAGGTCAAAGTCACTCATCAGCATCTCTGAGCCCAACGCACGGTAAGAGCTCAAACAACACTTATTCAAGGAAGGAAGGAATGAGCGAACAAATTCTTCAAATCTTTAGGTCAACTTCTTTATGATTCCAGCACCATGACAGGCTTCCAAATGGGACCTTTTTGACCGAGGACTTAGTATCCAGCTAGTCTTCAAATAGGCCGTGTGATGATGTGCGCTGTCTAGAATACAAATTCCCAAATCCGATGGGACTCTGAGAAGACAGGGCTCCCTTTTCTGATGCTGGAGGGTGTATGGGACCCCCTTGCCCTGGCCTCAGGTGTCCCACCGTCTCTCCACTTGCCTCCTCTCCGTCCCCCGCTGCCCTTCTGGGTGGGAGGGACGTGTCCGGCTGGGTCCGTTCTGACATCCTCTCTTCTCTCTGGGACCCACCTGGCTGCCCACTCCGGCAGGCAGTGGGCTTAGCAGGGCAGCTGGGTTCCCTCAGGTGGGACATGTCACCCCACTCAACCAGCCAAACTGCTGCCATATTCTTCCGTCACCCACTGACATTGCAGCTCCATCTACCTCACTCCTGTGAAATCTCTCAACTGGTTCCAAACTGGCGGGGACAAGGGGTGTCGCCCACGGGACCTCTCGCATCCAACAAGTGCCACCTCCAGGAGATTCTGACCCAGTAGGTCTGGCAGGGGACCTGGGACCCATCTCTGATCACACACAGCCACGTCTGAGAATCACCGGTCTGGAGGGACAGACCATTGTCACTCTGATTCTCCTTGGGTCCCTCTCCCTCCTTGGTTCCCGTGTCCCCAACCCCAGGAACTCCAGTCAGGCCTCCTGGCACTGTGCTCTCTCCTTTCCTGGGAAATAATGGAGACCTGAAACCTGTCACCATTAGAACCAAGTCCAAACCCTGCCATGCCCCAGAAGGCCCCTGGCCAATGTCTGACCTTCCCTCCTAGAACGTTCCTTCTAAGGAGCCTTTGCACTTGATGTTTCCACTTCCTGGAAGGCTCACCTTCCAGATCTTCACCTGGGGCTCCTCCTCCCAACTCGGGTCTCTGCTCCAACGACCCCCACCCAGAGGGGCCCTCCCAGCCACCCCCCAGCACGCTCTCCCCTTCACACTGCATTTTATTTCTCTCAGAGCTCTCGCTATCGTACTCACTCATTTGTTTCTCTCTCCCTCCGAAATACAAACTTTACGAGGGTAGTCGTTTTCTCTGCCCTGTCCCCTGGCCCTGAGAACAGGGCCCAGCCCAAGGGATAAATGTCCCGATGACGTGACAAGCCTGGGTAGGGATTCTACTTGTGCACCGATCCTTGAGTGCAGAGCTCACCCTTGCTCAGGTGAAAAGTGGAAACATGGAGTCACACCACAGAGTCTGGAGGAGAGGGCTCCTGGTCTATGAAGGGCCCTATGATGGGACATCCCAGTGAATGTCACAGGCTGGTCTCCTCCGCTGGGTGTCTGCAATGCTGGGCAATGACATTATACTACAACAGTGTTGGCTAGACTTCATGACATAGTACCCCGCCCCCACCAAGTCCTGAAGTTTGATGTTTCAGCTTCTGCAAAATAAATTGGTTCCTTTCTTAAGCTAGGGTCCTCCAAGTGAGCTATGGTCTGGCTGCATTGGCCTAGCCACCCCGGCTGCCTCCCTGCATGGGGAACTGTCTACGTGCCGGGGAACAGACACCGCATGCTGCGTCTTGGGGTTACTAGGTCAGTTAACGCTCCAAACCAAGGCACTCCCTGTGCCCCTGTTGGATCCTAGACTATTGCACCCTGGTGATAATGGAGCTGTGGGAATTGACCGAGCCTTGGCCATGGTGATTAATTGGTGGCAATTACAATTAGTCACTAATTTATAGTTCATTCATCCAGGATACAGTGGTACGGGCTGCCAGGCACACAGATAGCCTCGCAAGGTGTTCTCAGGTTCAGGGTCAGCCTCATGTGAGGGTCATTTCAAGGATATTGGTGGCCAGGCTGCAGGCCTGGGAGCTGACATTCTATTAGAGGCAGGTGCTGGGGTGGGGGAGGGGCACAAATCCCAGGACACCGGGGTTCTCTGGTCTTGGCTCCCGTCCTGGCCAACCTGTTAGGTGGCCAACTCATCCCTCAAAGGCCTGTCTGCTCTGCCTTGGGGTCCAGGCCAAAAGCCTGGGCATTGTTCTTCATCCTTTTCATTTCTCCACCCCTGACACCACAAACCACCAGCTAATGTGGACAGCAGCATCTCCAAACACATCCTGAGTCTGACTGCTGCGCTCTACCTGCTAGGCCATTGCCTGTGACTGCCACCATGACCACCATCCCTCTTCAACTGCCAGCTGTGTCACTGGTTTCCCGTCTTTCAGTCCTGTGTCTGCACCCTGTGCGTCACGCAGCAGCCAGAGGGGTTCTTTAGTCAGAAATCTGACCACATTCCCGACCCCAGCTGGAGACTCCCCAGCAGTTCCCCAATGCACCTGGAATCAAGTCCATAGTTCTTCCCATGGTCTGTAAGGTGGACGACCCCTCCCACCTTGTTTTCTGTGTCAGTCCTTGTTTCATGCACCAGTATATGTTCCACCAGCAAGCCCAGCATAGTCCTGCCCCAGGGCCTTTGCACTTACTACTTTAATAAGAAAATCTCCCCTCCAGAGCTCCACCTGGCTGGTCCCTTCTCACCCATCAGGTCTCTACTCAAATATCACCTCCTTAGAGGGGCCATCAGCCTCTGAGGTGGGACAACCTGTACCCCAGTTTCCCAGTCCTCCTTGCCCTGTTTCCTACTCCTGTTATATCTGTGAATAGGGCTATTGTCTGGATCTCCCCACCAGAACATAAGTCCCACAGGGCAGAAAGCTTTGCTTTGTTGCTTGTTGTTCCCCAGTGCCCAGGAAAATGGCCAGTGATTAGTAGGTTCCCCCATTAAGATCTGTCAGATTATTAACTGACTGAAGCAGTTGCCTCCGAAGGGCCAAAACAACTTTAGGACTGTATAAATGTAACTACTCCTTAACTGTAAAGAAGTTGAAATTACATTCGGCCCTTTGAAGGCAATCTCGAGGTTGATGTGGCCCCCGGTGAAGATGAGTTTGACACCCCTGCCCTCCTGATCCTAAGGGCTGCTCAAGCCCCGCCCAGTCTAGTGCCTGGGCCAGTACTTTTGGAAACCCACCTGAAGGAGCAAGGAGCTGGTCTCCTGAGGTCCCTTCCAGCACAGAGAGCTAAGGGTCAGAGTGCCTATTCCCTGTCACAGGGAGGAATTTTCAAAAGTTTAAGGTCAAATGGAGTGGAAACATCCCAACAGCAGCCTCTACACCACCTTCAGACCACCCTGGGAGGCAGGAGTCTGTGAGTCACTGTGAGCTTGAACCCAGATGTGGCATCTTGAGAGGAAGGTGACCTCTGCAACAGGGACCCAATGGGAGGTCACAGGGGAGCGGGTGAAAGTGCAGATTCCTCGGCCCACGTGCAGACGATCTGGCATGGGGCTCAGGAATCTGCACTTGTAGCAACTCCCCAGCTGATTCTGCAGCAAGGGGTCCAGCTCTCAGAAGCCCAACAGGTGAGCGCCTGCCGGTCTGAGCTGTGGGCACTTGTGCCTAGGGGGCAGGGCGTGATCAAGACGACCCCTGTGCCCCCTCCACTGGGAAGGAAAACGGCATCCTTGGTGCTCCTACTGATGCCGGGAATCACTGGAGGAGCCTGCATCTGGGGTTGCTAGTCCTCCCAACGGTCCTAGGAAGCTGGTCGTGCGATGCCCCGTGTTGCAGACAGGGAAGAAGAGTGCAGACAGGCTAAGGGACTTTCTAAGTCGCACCGCCGAGAGACTTGGAGCCGTGCGCTGCTGGGACAGGTCGGGGACCCTGTGCCTCTCCGCTCCCCAGGGTCCGAGGACACACCTGTCAGGCCACAGTCACACAGCTGCTTACCTGGCCCAATCTACTACCATCCATGGTTCACCGACTTCTCCAATTACATATTTTTATGTGTGATATTTAGAATATTTATCCCAATTTTCACCCGAGGTTACATTCTTTTTTCATATAAAGAAACCACACCTCACTCCCATCACCCTGGCTGCTGCTGGGCAATGGGTTTTAGCTTCTCTGTGGATGTTCAGGGTCTTTACTTGTGAGGGACAGTGTGGCTGGAGGGCCGGGAACTTTAGGATGGCCCCCTTACAGGCCAGGAGTCGAACTCAGATAATTTCCGGTCTGGTCCTGCCTTTTCTCTTCACAGCTTATTCTGAGGGGACAATTTCATGACCAGTGTCATGGGAGCAGAGGGACCACTTCTGAGGCCCCCCTCCAGCTCCACCCTTTAGGATGCCGGCAAATCGGCTGCGCCTCTGGCCCCTGCCACATGGGGCACCCACTCTGTTTTCGGCCTCCCCACCCCCTCTCTAAGGCAGCTGTGAGGACAAGGGCTTTATCCATCCCTTTCCCCCCACGTGGGAGTCACAACAGCAGCTGAGAGTGGACTCTGGAATCACACGGCCTGGGTTTGAATCTTGACCCCCTTATGTTCTGGCTTTGTGACCTGGGGCAGGTTACTTCCTGTGCTGTATTTTCCTGTTTCGTAAAATGGGGACAGTAACAGTATCCACCTCCCAGGGTTGCCGAGGGGTTTGCAAGAATTAGAATAAAGTACTGAGCTCAGCGCCCGCACATAGTAGGCAAACAATGAATATCAGCTATGGTGAAAATTATGCCTGGAGCCCAGCACAGGGCCTGGCACACACAGTGGGTGCTCAGTTCTCTGCTGAATGAACGAAGCAGCCGTTTTAAATGCTGATTCCAAGCTGCGTGGTTCTCTAGGGTGCTGGTGGAGACCCCAGCAACCAGTGACAAAGCTGGCACTTCACCACGACCAAAGACTAATATCTCAAACCCTTCTGCTTCATTGGGGAGGCAGGGCTTGCAATTCAGTAACAAAGGCCAGGTTGGGAAGTAGAGCCGAGTTTGCGGCAGGGCTTGCTGGGCCCGTGCGGCTCGCCCCTCCTCGGGTCCCACGGCCTGGACTGAGGCCGTCTTTGGCTTCGGAGGACAGGGGGCAAAATCCATGATCCCGTTTAAGTTTCCTGGGCACCAGCGCAGAGTTCCCAGTGAGACGCGCTTCGTCTCGAATGGAAGTCTTAAACTTTGAAATGCAGTCCTGGGCTACTTAGCCTGCTGAGCCCAATTTCCTTCTCCTGTAGGTGGGGAACAACAGGACCTACTTAGCAGTTGGTCTGAGGATTGTACACTCTGCAATGATTCACAAGCTTTGTGCAGGACCTAGGAGAGCAACTAGAATAACTGTAAAGATTACCAAGTACAAATAAACCAGCCCCACCTGAGATGGCCATGTTTTGGGTCCCGGAGCACTGGTTCTCAAACTAGGGTTGTTTTCACAACAGTTACACTCTCATCCTCCCCCACCCCAGCCCTCCACTGTCCAGAGGACATCTGAAAACGTGTGGAGACATTTTTGGTCGTCACGACTCAGGAAGTGCTTCTGGTATCTAGTGAATAGAGGTCAGGGATGCTGCCAGACACCCAGCAATGCGCAGGCGGCCCCATGACACAGAATGATCCAGTCCCAAATGTCAGTCATGCCAAGGTGGCAAAACCCGGTGCAGGGTTAGCTCAGGTCCAGGTTAACCCTCAACACACAGAGATGTATTTTTCCAGTTGTGTGGGCAGAGCTTCGTGGGTTGTCACAGGATGAGGAGAAGAAAATGATTAACACACACATACAAAAAATTCCACCCAGCTGCCCAAAGGGCATTGTTTTGGGATCAAGATCCTAGTACTGTTGGTAAAGGTCGGCCTTCCAGGAAGTTCTGAGAAATGCAGCTTTTCGTGCTGATTTCCTGGGCTGACTAATTGCCACCCTGTTAGTATCTAAACTTGTTCTCTGAAGGAAGGCCACCCATCCGTCCTTCTGTCCATCCATTCTTCCTTCCATCCACCCACCCAACACTAAGTGCCCACCATGCGCCCATCACTGCTACAGACACTGAGAGACAATGGCAAACAATCCAGACAAGGGCCCCGCCCTCATGGAGCTTGTGGGGAAGAGACGGAACAAATAGCCCCATTCTGACCCTGACCTTCTCTGCACCATTCCAAGTGGATGCCTCAAATTGTGCATTGTACCGCACCCTATAAATGCTATGCTCTTTCCTTTACGCATATACCTGTGATAAGGGCTAATGCATAAATTAAGCAGAGTCAGAGATTACCAATAGCTAATAATAAAATAGACAACTACAACAACATACTGTAATAACAGTTAGGTGCGTGTGGTCTCTCTGACCAATGACCCGACAACTGAGACGACTATTATGTGACTAATGGGACGGGGCAGGGATACGCTGGACAAAAAGATGATTCACATCTCAGGCCAGACAGAGCAGGACTTCAAGATTTCATGACGCTACTTAGAACTGCCTGCAATTTAAAACTTATGAGTTGTTTTCTTCTGGAATTTTCCATTTAATATTCTCAAACTGTGCTGGGCCATGGGTAACTCAAACCACGGAAAGCTAAACTGCAGAGAAGCGGGGGAGCTACCATAGCTAAGTTAAAGATCCCAAGGTGAGGTCAGCCTGTACGAGGTTCTCATAAGAACCGTGCAGAGGAGAGGGAAGGGAGGAGGAGGAGAAAGCAGGGAAGACAAAGGGTGGGGCGTGGAGCGGTGCAGCCACAGGCCGAGGACACTTGGAGCCATCGGCTGCTAAAAGAGGCATGGAGGACTCTGGCCCGCAGCCCGCAGAGGGAGTGAGACCTGCTGACACCGTGCTTCCGGCTTTTGGCCTCCAGAACCGTGTGAGAGGAGAAGTTTTTGCTGCTTTAAGTCACCCGTCTACGGTAACTTGTTTCGACAGCCCTGGGAAACGAATGTAGTGAAATCCTGTACTGCCACTTCCTGAGCAATCAGTGGGCAAATTGCTTAACCTCTCAGAGCGGACCTCCTTGTCCACAAAACGTGCCACTAGGATCCGTCTCATTAACCCAGCCAATGGATGTTTACTGAGTGTTTACCATGTGCAGGTGCTGGATGTACGTGGTGAAGGAACCCGGCACAGTTCTGCCCCCGTGGAGCTCACAGTCTGGAGGGGAAGCCAGTTACCACACAAAGAAGCGCGTGGCTAGATGCTACACTGCAACAGACAGGAGGCCAGGACGGCTGCCCCCGGGGAGTGATGACTGAGCAGAGGGTTGAGGGAGACTTGGAGAGGAGCTGCGCGACGTGGGGCGGGACTCCTGCCAGGGGAGGGGCCCCGTGCAGAGAGGCTGGTGCCAGGAGCAGGATGCACTCCACATGGGGAGAGGGGAGGGGTGCGTGGGGAGAGGTGAGGACGAGAAGGGGCCAGCCCACCAGGAAGGGCCATCTTTCTCCCGAGTGCGGCGGGAGTGGTCGCGGGTACCGGGTCAAGAGGCAGCATTGTCACATGTGTGTCTGGGAAGGGTCGTTCGAGCTGCAGGGTGGAGGACAAACTGCTGGTCAGAGTGGTGGCAGGAAGACCTCAGAGGAGACCTCTGCTGTCATCCAGGAGGGGGGTAGGGGTGACTCAGACCAGGGTGGTGGGTGGAGACGGGGAAGAGCCAGATAAAGAGCTACTTAGAAGGTCAAAACCTCAGGGCATTACGAGGAACAAAATGAGGTAATCACTGAGAAGCACCACACAGCGCTTGGCATGGAGGAAGTGCACACCGCCTCCCGACAATGTGGGGCTCCCTTTCCTTCCTTGCACCAAAAAGACCAGGGGCAACCAGGTTCCAGGTGAAGATGAGCGCCCACAGTTCACAGAACTTAGAAATCAACTCACCATCCTTGAGTGAGAAGCTCAGCAGGTCCTGGAAAAAGTAACAGGAATTGGCAATAAGTTGATATGTAAGCAGCCGGCTCATTTGACAAACATTTATTGACGCTTACTAAGTAGGAGAGCCAGACAGAAAACATCTCTGCCTTATACTCTGCTGGTGAGTCAGACAAATAAACAAGCAAATGAATGAACGTGTGAGGGTTTCCGGGAGTGAAATGGAGGAGGGGAAGGGCCGTTTTAAATCTGTTCACTTGACCCACCACGACCGAGTCACAGCTGCCTATTGCACTGCGAACAGAGCAGGTGTGTGACAAGCCTGAGGGCACACAGCAAAACTGCTGCTTCTGAGAAAAGGCACCATGGCACGGCACTCAGGAGCAGGGGCTCTGGAGTCAGACTGCCGAGGTTTGAATCCGGGCTCAGCCCCTTGTCAGCTGCAGGACCTTGAACAAGTTACCTAACCTCGCTGCGCCTGGGTTTTCTCCTGAACGAAATGGAATGCTCTTACTACCAACCTCATAAAGCTGCTTTGAGAATTAAATGAGTTAATATTTGCAAAGGTGTTCCCATGTACTAAGCACTGCTTAAGTATTAAATCAATAGTAAATATTCAATAATGATGATGTAACACTAGCTTTGATCATCATCACTAGATAATATTCGGATGAAATATTTTATCTTTCCACCACCCCACCCAGAAGCAATGTCCAGACCGACTAGGGAAATGATTTGTTCTGGCTTCCCCAGCACCCACTGCCCGGGGCAGGGGGGGGCGGCGGGTGTACCTGAGTGATTACCAACGGGTCCTCCTTCACGATGGGATCCTTCATTAAAATCTGAGCAAACATGTCAGCTCCTTCGCCTCCCAGGCCGCTGGCAAAGGCATTCATGGTTGGCAAGACAGCTTCGGACAGCTCCAGCCACTTCACCAGGCCTGCCACGAACTCCGTGCAGAAGGAGCTGAAAGGCAGACACAGCTGAGACCCCGAAGCTTCCAGACTGCACCTCGCAAGGCCATCAGGAAGTTTAGCGTGGACGTGTTCATACATGTGAACAGCCAACACATCAAAAACTATGGTGACCACAGCGTGTAGAATTTAGAGGAGCCCAAATCCAATTTCAGGTGGTGGGGATTTTAGCTCCTTCCCCCAGAGAACCTTTGACCGAAGGCACCTGCACCTGGCCTGCCACCTGCTCTCGTAGACCAAGTTTCACAGGCACGGTCACTCCCGGCCCTTCACCTGTGCTCTCAGGCTGCTTCAGGCTGTAAGAGCAAAGCTGAGGGGCCAGGACAGAGACCACATGGCCTGCAAGCTAAAATACCCCGTCCTCTATGGAAAACATAGGGCCCTGCCCTACTCACGCATATCTCCATGTTTATGAATAGAATTAATCATAGGAAACAGCATGGGTAAGAAATAAGTACAGTGGAACCAGAGGATCGCAGTTTGATTCCCAGTCAGGGCACATGCCTGCAGGCCAGTTCCCAGCAGGGGACGCACGAGAGGCAACCACACATTGATATTCCTCTCCCTCTCTCCTTCCCTTCCCCTCTAAAGATAAATAAATAAAATCTTTTAAAAAAACCAATGAAAAAAATACTCTTAAAAAAAAAAAAAGTCCAGTGGTACCTCAGTACTCATCCTTCTTTCATTCTGGAACTCGTGACCAGGGCCAGAACCTCAGAGTACCGAGTGAGGAAACATGTCCTATTGCGGGGCGGTGTCTTGATTCACTCAAGTTCTAGCTAGTGGGAGGAGTCCTGAGCAAGCGTCAAGTGCAGAAACATTTTTTTTTTCTCGTCAAAACGTGACGAGTGCAGGATCTGACAAGTTCTGAAGCTGACGAGTACTGAGGTATGACTGTATCTTAAAGGCTTGCTTTTGTGTTCCATGTGGACAAAAGTGGTGACAGAGTGTTTGCTTTGCTTTTTTTTTAATCCTTGCCTGAGGATACGTTTATTGATTCTAGAGAGAGAGTAGGGGAGAGAGAGAAACATCAATCAGTTGCCTCTTGTCCACACCCCAAAGTGGGACTGAACCTGCAACCTAGGTGCATGCCCTGATCGGGAATCGAACCCAGAACCTTTGGGTACACAGGATGATGCTCCAACCGACTGAGCCACACTGGCCAGAGCCACAGAGTGTTTTCGTATGGTAACTGAAACCAAGAGCAGATCTGGGCTGTAAAAAAAATGGAGGCTGTGTGTAACGTGTTTGGGGCCAAGGGAAACCAAGACCAACCACATGGAAAGAGTTGGCACACCAAACCAGAAACTTCCCAGAAGGGATGCCTCAGGGCAAAGGCTTCCGGTCCACGTGCTTAGGACAATACTTGGATGTGTGCCTGCGAGGGGCACAGAGGACGGTAACTCACTTCCCTCTGTGCCCCGCACACGTGGTGCCCCGCACAGGCCCGGCACAGTGCCCAGGCTCACAAAGCTCTTCCCCACCTATGTATCAGCTTATCAGGTAGGGGTTTACCAGGTCAGGGGAAGCTTCCAGAAAGATGGAGTCTTCCTAGACAGGGCACTGGGATTGGCCACAACAGGGAGAGAGTCGAACCCTTGTGGGAGACAGGACTCTGGCTTGCTCAGGAACAGAATATCAATGAGATATTTTCCAACTCTGTGTAGAGTATGTGACTTCATTATTAATAATGAGAATATCCAGTATTTGTTTGGCAGCAGCTCTACGCCAGGCTCTGCAAGGCGTCAGCACACTCCCTCCTCATGAGCACCCTCTCTGGTGGATGCTGTTCCTCTGCAACAGTAATTCCCCAGCCCCTTCTCCCCGGCCAGCAGAACCCACCTCTCATGATAGAGGTTAACAATGGAAAGTCATTTTTTTTCCCAGTCCCCTTGAAGACGAGGCTTGGGCAAGTGACTGGCTCTAGCCAAAAGGGGAAGCCTTCTCGGCCTAGTCTGGGAAAGCCTTCCTCCCTGATGAGAGAGACTTGAGGGGAGTTCCTGTTCTCCTCGTGTGCCTTGGGCCTTTTCCTATGAGGATGTGATTTGTGGCACTGCAGCAGCCATAATGTGATTAGGAGGCAAAGGCCAAGGGAACTGGAGAGAAGCCAACCCAAAGGCTTTTCGAGGCACGGAATCAGGCCTGGAACTCCCTGCCTTTTGATTTCCTGTTACGTGAGAAGAAAAGGAAGCTATTGTGACGTGCGGCTCCAAATGCCCTGACTGGCAGGAGCAAGCTCAGTATTGTCTCCATTTTACAGATGAGGAAACCGGAGCAAATAAAATGAGTCACAGAGCTAGCAAGTAACCGGTGCCATTTACTGAGCACCTACTATGTGCCAGGCACTGTGCTGTGGGCTTTACCTACGTGATCTCATTTACTTCTTCCCCCATTTTATTGAGATATAATTCATATATACATATATATATGTCACTGTGTAATTTTAACTTACATATATTAATATACACCAACCAGCATAATGGTTTAATTTACATATATTGTGAACTGATTACCACAGTAAGCTTAGTTAGCATCCAGCATCCCATATAAATACAATAAAAGGAGAAAGCAAAAAATTGTCTTCCTTGGGATGAGAAGGCATAGGACCGACTCCGTCCACCACTCTCGTGTCTATCACACAGCAGCGTTAACTACACTCTCGCTGCACCTTGCATCCCCACACTTACTTATCTTGTACAGAAGCTGGTACCTTTTGACCGCCTTTCTCCAATCATTTAATTCTTGTCATCCCCCTGCAAGGGTGGGTCTTGTCAGCCCACCCTCAGATGAAGAGACTGATGTGTAGGGAAATTAAGTACCCCGCACATGGTCACATGTACCCGGAAAGGGGCAGGGAACTTGAACCCGGATCTGAGTCCAAAGCCCAGGGAATGTCTCCTGTGCTAATAAAACCAGCGGGGATCTACCCCCTCTTGCTGTGAACCTCGCCCCGTGTCTCTGCTGCGCTAAGCTGGGTGTAAGGCACTGGGACTCAGAGGCGAATGAGGCAGCTCCTGCTCCCCAGGAGCTCAAACTGCCAGGGTGGCAGGTGTGGGAAGAGGTACAGTGCAGCCTGGGGTCACGGTGATGGGTCACTGGGCATGCAGGTAGAGAAACACCTGGTCTGACAGTGGGGAAGGTCAGGGAAGGCTTCCCGGAGGTGGCCCCCAAGGAGACGAATATGCTCAAGTGTTGGGTCCAGTGACAGAGACAGAAATAAAAGACAAAAACAATACAATCAAACAAAAACATCCAGCGGAGACCCAAGGCATGGGAAAATTTACTCACGGAGGAGGTTTGAGGGGGGGGTGGGATCTTGAAAACCCTGCTGATGTAAAATAAAAACTTCTTGTCATCTCCTGTCCCCAACCTGCTGCTCCCCATCTCAGTAATGATATCTCTCCCCTCCTAGGCGCCCTCCCTGCCTGGACCTTTAGGAATAGTTAGCTCCTCCCTCTGCCCGTACAACATCCAGCCCGTTCCCAAGTCAACCCCATTCTCCCCGAGAAAGCTCTGTCTCACCTGTGCCCTCTCTCCACCGCTTGGTCACTGTCCTGGTCTCCCCCGTGACTCCATCAGCCTCCTTCCTGGCCTCCTCCTGCCTCTAAACTCTTTCCCCATAGAATCCTTGAAGCCCTTAAAGGCCAAGCCTTAGCTCTGAACAACTCTCTATTAGAACTTTAAATATGCATTTAAATGCACCTGTTTGATAGTGACAATGGCAGATATAAACATGTTCATTAGACTTGTCATTCTTTTGCTCCTGTGATACCCCATCTGTTGCTATTATATGCAGTCATTTAGGTATCGCCCCCCCCCCCCCCAGACCTTGCTCTTCTTTGTTTTACCTACAGGGTCTTGTAGTACTCCCAGCACACAGCAGTAGTTCAACAAATGCATGTCACATGAATGAATAAATATCTCCATATTAGACTGTGTCCTGCCTGAGGGCAGGGATACAGTCTGCCTTGTTCAACCTTATTCCTGGATATCTTCCATGTACTTTAATGGTGCCTGGCACACAGTAGGTGCTCAGAAAATGCTGGTGAGTACTGAATGAGATGTCCTATGCCCCTGGCAGGCTGTGAGCTCCTTAAAGACAAGCACAGTGACTTCCCTTTTTGTAGTGCCCCAAACACCTGGCAGGCCGCTTGGGGTGTCCCTAATGGTCTCCCTGAAAAAGTATGACCTTCCCTCTGTGAGACAAAAGCACTCACCTCTGCTCAGGTTCTGGAAACAGCTGGGACAGGGATATGCCACAGAGGGCGGCATAGGCAAAGCGGTTGGCCTCGGACAACTCCCGGCCCACGGGCGGGCGTGGCTCCCCCTCCAAGGCTGGCTCGGCCACCGGATGCGGCCTGAGGCTTGACCTGTCCCGTGTGGCCATTGCCAGTCCTGCAGGAAAAAAAGCCCAATGAATGAGAAACGTGTCCAGGGGGTAGGCAGAGGTCACTTAAATGGGACACAAAAATTTGAGCATAAAAGAAAAGATTGATAAACTAGCTTTCATTAAAATTAAGAACTTCTATTCATCACCTTTAAGAGAGTGAAAACACATACCAAACACTAGTAGGAGATATTTTCAATATGTATTTCAAGAAAGGATTTGTATCCAGAGTATATAAGCAACCCCTTTAACTTATAAAGAAGAAAGGAGGCAACTTTTAAAATAGACTGGTGTAGCTCAGTTGGCTGGAGCATTGTCCCATACATTGAAAGGTCACTGGTTTGATTCCTGATCAAGGCACATACCTATGTTGTGAGATCAATTCCCCATTGGGGTGTGAATAGGAGGAAACTGATTGATGTTTCTCTTTCACATAGATGTTTTTCTCTCTCCCTCTTTAAAAAAAAATCCTAAAAAGAATAGGCCAAATAAGTACTTCATAAAAGATAACCAATGGCCAATAAGCATGTTGCAAAGTTGTTCGACATCATTAGTCATTGTAGAAATAGAAATTCCAACCCAGTGAGACATTGCTACTCATCCATCAGAATGGCTAAAATAAAAGACTGACAATAACAAGTGTTGCTGAGGGTAAGAGGCAAATAGAATATTGCACTGATATTTCCCCCTCTTTCTCCTTCCCTTCCCCTCTCTCTAAAATCAATAAGCATGTCCTTGGGTAAGAATAAAATAACTCAGTGGGATACTACCACTCACTGTCTGAATTGTTAAAACTAAAAAGACTGACAATACCAAGTGCTGGTGAGAATACGGAGCAAATGAAACTATCATACATGGTTCATGAAAGTGTTAACCACCATTTGGAAAAGGGTTTGACATTTTCCATGAGAGCTAAACATATGTTCTCCTCTTTTCACTCCTGATAAACGAGGGCTCTGTCCATCAAGAGACATGTACACAAATGCTCACTGAAGCTTCATTCATAACAGTCCCAAACTGCAAACAACCCACATGCTCGTGGCAGAATGGATGGACTGTGCCATATTCAAACAGTGGACTATTACACAATGATGAAACAGAATGAAGTCTGGCTAATAACAGCAACAAAAGTGAATCTCATAGACACAATGGTAAGCTGACAGCCACTCACGAGGGTACATTCTGTAGGGTTATGTTTATATGAACGTGAAGAACAGATCAAACCGATCTGAGGTGATCGCGGTCAGAGGAGAGGTTACCGTGGGAGGGAACACCAGCTCAGAAGGGGCACAGGAAAGCTTCCGGTGATGGCGATGCCCTATATCTTGACCCGAGTGGTAATTACATGGGTGCAAGTGTATTAAAAAGCCATTCAGCTGTACACCTAATATTTGCGCACTCTAGGTATGTTCTGTTTCAATGAAAGGAAGAAAGAAGAAAGGAAAAGGAAAGAAGAAGCACAGGAGGAAGAGAGGTCTTTATTCTTTCCTTCCTTTCCAGAGGGAGAAGGGGACAGAAATCCATTCCCATCCAGCTATAATATTTTTGTTCTCAAAAGATAACGTCCATGAAGGAGTTATTTAAAAGTCTGCCCACAACTAGTACTTCATTAGCTTTTCAAAAGAGCCCTGAGTTTCATTAGAAGCAACAAATCAACATCTGTGCTGGCACCTCCGGTTCACAAAGCACTTTCCAATCTATTTAGGTTGTAAGGTTAAATGGGACACGAGCCATTAAGATTTTCAGGCTCAGAGAGGCCAAATAACCTCCCCCAAGTTATGCAGTAAGTATGTGATGAAAGTCAAACCCGACTGTTGGCTCTAAACCCTGTGCTCTCTCCTCTACATCAGCACAGGGATCCTTCTTCCCTTGTTTTGGATGGAGAAACTGAGGCACAGAGAGGGGAAGACTTTGCCCAAAGTCGCCCAGCAAGACTGGCCTCCAGTGATTGCTCCAGGAACCAAAGTTTGAGATTCACTGATTTCCCTGGCTTGGAGGATTGTCCCACACAATCCCCTGTGGTGGGCCACGGGGACAGTCGCAAGCCAGGAACTGAGGACAGCGCTGGGGGAAGCAGCCAGCCATGCCAGCTGGCTTAGCAATTTCCACTGCATGTAATCAACTCCATGTGCCCTTTGGAGGCTACGGTAATTGTGCCACTGCCTGGAGGGGCCCAGGATGGTATTTTATTGGGTTGGTCTCTAGGGAGACCCACCGTGGTTTTTAGTTAAAGAATAAACAACCCTCTCATCAGAGAAGCATAAGCTAGTCTGCCTCCAACCACAGGGGAGAGGGGGACGTACCGGGTGGGGCAAAAGGAGGTGTACAGTTTGAATATGCGCTATGCAGTTTATTCTTGTGTTGTTTTTTCTTAATTATTATTATTATTTTCCATACAGACAACAGTAAACCTCCTTTTGCCCCACCTGGTAGCTAGTGCACAAAAAGCTCAGCTTGAGCCAAATTCACTCATTCATTAGACAAATATATATATATATATAATTTATTTATTTTTAGAGAGAGGGGATAGGAAGGAGAAAGAGTGGGAGAGAAACATCAATGTGTGATTGCCTCTCTTATGTCCCCTATTGGGAACCTGGCCTGCAACCCGGGCATGTGTCCTGACTGGGAATCGAACCGGTGACCCTTTGCTTCACAGGCTCCTGCTCAATCCACTGAGCTATACCAGCCAGGGCGATAAATATATTCTTGATGCCCTATAATCTGTTCTTTCCACAGTCACCCTAGTGGCCTTTGTTTCATACACCAGTCCTCTCACCTGCCTGTTTAAAAGCCTCGGAAGGCTTCCTACTGTCCCAGGGTGAATCCCAGTCCCCTGAGGATGGGCTACAACATCCTGCGTGATCGGTCCGCCTGCCCCTAAGCTTCTCACGCCCCCACACCCGACTTGTTCACTGCACTGTAGCCACACTGGCCATCTTCCTGCTTTTCAAACACCTGAGCTGCTCTCCCCTCTGGGCCTTTGCACTTGTCATCCCCCCTGCTTAGGACACCCGTCCCCTGACCTTGACATTAGTCTGGCCTCAGCCCGAAGGTCACCAGGCTGAAGTACTTCTGCCCCTCTACCCCAGCATCCTGTCTGGTTTACGATACTGAGTCCTATCTTCAATAATATATATTTAAATTATTCACTTACCTATGGATACCCATACAACATAAGCTTTTCAAGGCAGGCCCCTGGCTGCTTCTTCCCTGCCGCGCCCCGAGCTCTCTGAGGTGGCCCTGGGTATTACGGGCATTCCATAACCACCTGCTGAATGAATGAGGAAGGGCATTCGATGTGTGATGTCCTGTTCCAGGCCTTGGGGCAGATCACGGGACAATACTGACAAACTCCCTGCTCTCAAGGGGCTGATGTTCTGGTGGGACACAGGCAATAAGACACCAACATGGAATGACAATGACTTAAGTAACTTGCCCAAGATCGCAGAGCTGGTAAGTGGTGAAACCAAGATTTGCACTTGGGTGGTCTGGTTGTCGGGTCTATGCCCAGTCCGCTCAATACACAGTAAACATATGGTCAGGAGGCGATCACCGGGGAAGAACAGTTAGGCAGGGTGAGGGGGTATGCAGTGATGGGCAGGTGGGAAGCGACCGTGGCATGCAGGTGAAAGGTACAGGTGCCATCCCAGCAGAGGCCCGCAGGAAATAAAGGGCACAGCCCTGGGGTGGATGGCAGAGCATTCCGGTAGAAGAAGCAGGACTGTGGTGGAGGAGGTGGACAAGTAAACAGACGATGACAAAGCAGTAGGATAAACGCTGTGATGGAGGAGACACAGACAGAGGGACAGCAAGACGGGGCCTGGCTTCCTGGAGAAGATGACGTCAGACAGGGGTGGGGTGGGAGGAAGAACACGCTCTGGGCAAAGGGGACGGCACATGTCAAGACTCAGAGGTGCAACAGAGAGAGAATGCTTTCCAATTCTTTTTCATCCTCACCAAGGGCATTTTTTCATTCCTGTTAGAACACGTGAGACATCTATGTGAGACAGAACATCCACTGCTGCCTTCTCCTACACACCCTGACAAGGGATCGAACCTGCAACCTGGGCACGTGCCCTGACCAGAGATTGAACCTGCGACTCTTGGTCTATGGGGTGATGCTCCAACCAACCCAGTCACACCAACCAGGGTAAGAGAAGATGCTTTTTAAGAACCAGAAAGATGCCCAGTGCAGCGAGGATTTGGATGGTGAGAGGGAAGAGACGAGGTGGCAGGGGATGCCGCCGCCGGGGCCACGCGCCGCAGACCTCGTTCTCCCAGCTAAGGACTGAGACTTAGCTGCAAGGCCACAGCCGTGCGAGGAGCTATGAGGTCATGTGGAAGCTCTCTGTACTATTATCTTTACAACTGCCTGTAGTCTATAATTATTTAAAACTAAAAACTAAAAAACAACAATAACAAAAAAGAAAAACACTGTGATGTCTCTATGGGATTTGAAGGACCTTTCCTCAAGGTCTGAGTAACCTAAAAACACAAGTTCACCTCCTCCCCAGACTAAGCAGTTAGTTAACTTAATAAACCCGTATTGACACCTACTATGTGCCAGGCACCATCCGACATGCTGGGGACACACGGTGACTAAGACAGACAACAACCCTCCATCCCGGAGCTCAGTTCTAGCAGGACAGACAGACAATATGTAAACTCCTAATATCTAAAATGATACTATCTTAGATAATGGCGAGGCTTCTGAAGGAAAAGAAACCTTAAATAATACTTACCCAGATTTCCGGAAACAACCACGGGCCTCCCGTCTGGGTCTGAAAACAGGCTGCCAGCATCGGATGCTTCCTGGGGAAATATGCAAATTGCCCTGCAGGAGCAAACCAGAAAAACCAGCTCGTGGGTCCACAGGGTGTGGGAGGAAGCCAGTGGGAGGCAGGGATCCAGATGCCCAGGCTCAGGAAGCCTCGCCCCGCAGGTCCCTGAACCTGGGATCCTTTCTCAGTCGGGTGGCAGGCAGCTACCGGTCACTGAGCACATAACCTGGACTCTGCTTGAACCGTCTGTTGTAAGTCCTCGAACCCTGAGCTGTGGTTGTGGGCCTGCTCCTTGGGCAGCCTGGCTGTGGAGGGCAGGAACCTGATCTCCTCCATCCCGGTGCGCACCCCTTGCCTGCCAGACTGAGTGCTCAGAAGTGTTCCTCGAATGAATGAATGAACTAGTGTGGAGGCTTAAGCAAGAGCTAGACTCTCCTGGTTATTTGGCTCCTGTTCTTACCCTCCCATTTGGGCAGTGAATGAAGAACAGAGATAGAACAAGGGCCAAGTGTCTGGAATTACCCAGGGTGTCCCAGAGCCCCAACCCCAGGATCCCCAAAGCTTCAAGTAACCTGAACTTCATCCTCATGGCCTTTTTCCATGCCAAGGAGCTAGAATATTATTTTCTGCCTCTTCAAGCCTCTGTAGGGTTTTTAATTATTACTGATAATTTACACCCTTCCCCTGGCTGTCTGCCTTCCACAGGGTATGAGAATGTGCTCGTACCACGCCTCCAACCTGACAGAGTCCTGCTACAAGTCAAACCACATTAAAAAGCTGCACATTAGAAAAATGGCCGAAGAATAGCCTCCACAATTACTTCTGAAAGATGAGAGGCCAGAAACTTTTCTGCATTCCCCAAGTGTTCTGCTATCACTGTGTACTGCTTTTGAACTTGGGAGCAAGTTATTTTGTTCATGTCCCTGTCCATAGAGAGGGGACTGTTGGGACTTGCCTTAGGCTGGTGGCAGTGGCTGTCTTTAAAGGCAGGGGGAAGGGTTGATGATAGGTGATTTTCATTTTTCTCTTTCACATTTCTGTTTTATGAATTTTTAATGATGAGTGTGTCTTGATTTTAAGATTCGAAAAAATAGACGCGATTTTAAATGATCATAAAATGTGCTGCCCCGGGCTCGTGCTGGCTGGTGAGAAGCAGCTCTAGGCATTTCTTTCCAAGTCCGTATTCCAGGGATGCTGCTGGCCTGACATGGGCCAGAGTGGAGTATTTACACCACGGACATGGGCAAGTGCTACAAGTGAGGGGTTTTATTTTCCAGAGACATGGTTCATAACATGCCATTGGATATACAATATGATTACAGTTATGTTTTTGAAAAATGTTTCACGTGATCACAAGGAAGCACATTAAAACGTTAACGATCGATGTCTCTCAGTCGTGGGGCTGCAGGACTAGAAGTAACAGGTCAGCTTTTTTTTTTTTCATTTTTTAAAAAGATTTTCTTTATGTTTAGACAGAGGGAGGGAGAGAAACATCAATGTGTGGTTGCCCCTCATGTGCCTCCTACTGGGGACCTGGCCTGCAACCCAGGCATGTGCCCTGCCTGGGAATTGAATCGGTGACCCTTTGGTTCACAGGCCGGGGCTCAGTCCACTGAGCCACACCAGCCAGGAAGTGTAATTGGTTTTGTTTTTTCTAATTTTCTATGTTTTTAAACATTTTCTGTCATGAGATTTTTGGTGCTTTTATAGTACAAAAATAATTTTAATTAAAAACATCAATTCTGTTTTAGAAGCCTATCGGGGGAGTGTTTTATCTCAGAAAGTTCTGGCTCTGTGCAGACCAGCCAAGCCTCACAGGGCGGAGGTCACTGTTCAGTCCCACTTCTGTGACCAACAGGCCTTGCTGTCAACAACATGGGCAAGGGCTGGCGTGACAGACAGGAGTCTTCAGCTGTCCCTGATGGTGGGACAGAGGTGCCCATGGTTCCAACTCTGTACATGGTCCCATCACATGGGCTGGGCCCCAAACTGTTCCAGCTGCAGGGGGTGGTGGCAGCGGTACACAAAGGGCTTGTGCCACCTGAACTGTGTATGTCAGGTGCCTCCACCCCTCGGTCTGACCAGGGATCAGGACCCAGTTCAAAGCTGAACTGGGTTCTCGGGTGCATCTGAGGAGCCAGGCTGATGCCAGGAGAGGGTGCTGGGTTACCATGGAGAGAAGACCCTGCTGGTCCTGGCCACTGGGGCTCTGCCCTCGGGGCCCCTCCTGTGCACAGAGTTCGTGCAGCAGTGCCCGGGCCTCAGGCGGTCACTGAGGAGGAGGCAGCCCCTAGCTCCCAGGGGTCTCCTGGGGGTCTTGTTCCTGCCCAGGCACTATAAGGACCCCAAGCCTGCACCTGACCCAGAAGGGCCCGACTCTCAGGGACACAACATGGACACAGTGAGGAGAGTGGGGCGAGCACTGACCCGTGGGTGGCAAGACTGCAAAGACCAGCCATGGGCTGGACAGGGACTGTTCTCTGGTAGGACCTTGGTTGCATGCTCTGTGATGACTACTCTTGTCCAGCTGGTCACATAACCCGTCACCAGAGAAAACGCTGGCTGGGTTATTTTTGTCAGGGGCAGGGGGCAGACAGTCATTCTGCACACATCTGTCCTCAGCCTGCAAGCACCCACAGTAGGGGCTCAGCCAGGATTTGCCGACTCACAGCATAGACAGCATGTGGGGGTTCTTCTCGGGGACATGAGAGGGTCCAACAGCAGCGCCGAGGAGAAAACTGAGTATGGTCACCGTGGTCCTGGAAAATTCTTTAAATCACCCTTAGAACTCCAGACCTGGGCCCTTAGTCCATCACACACAAGAATACATTTCTTTTGTTTTTCTTACATGCCGGCCAGTGGTGGCCTTTACAAATAAAAACAAAACAAAACAAAAAACAAACAAACAAAAACTTGGAGCAGCCAGTGAAGGCCAAGGTCAAATCAGATGTGCGTGTGTGTACAAGTGTGGTGTTTGTTCTCTTTTTCTCGCTTTTCCTCTTTTCTGGTTAACTAGTCACAGGTGCACGTTTAAATAAGCCCGAAGTCTAGTAAAATGAGAGTTACCACTACACAGATGGCTATAGTGTTGCAAGGAAGCCTAAGAACCGTCTAACTGTTCTTGCGCCAAGAATGAAAAGCATCTGGCTGAAGGAATCCTTTACAATAATAGAGCTCAGCACTGTTCTCAGGCCAGAAACTCTGAAGACTGTAGATCAAAGTACACACACACACACACACACACACACACACACACACACAGAGTCTCGAGAAGGTCCTGGAAGGGAGGATTCTAGGAGGATTCTGCCCAATTTATTGCCTCCTTCCCCTCTTCAGCGATTTGGGAGAGCAACTCTTCATTCCCTATCTCTATCTGGAAGTTAAGTTGGAAGCCCGTGGTAAATGCAGCATCTCAGTAGGTCTCCATGGCAACAGATCCAACAGAGAAGGACCCGGGGAGTTTGGGACACTGCCACTATAGACTGGAAGGAATCAGGAATGTTGGCACAGGAAGTTCCCACCCCAACCCTACCTCAGCAGCTTGGAGGCAGAGCGAGGTGGGCGCGGGCGACGGGGCACCGTCAGGGCGAACACACAGGCTCTGTAACATTTTGTCCGAATTTACTGCATTTACCGTTGTGCCTGCCTCCCCAACTCACACCCTAGTTCCAGCTGCCATCACCGCTCTGGCGGGGGCCTTATCATGGGCCTCTGACTTCTGTTCCGCCCTCGCCCCTCCCTAGTCACCCCGCAGCCCCAGACGGCTCCATTCTAAACTGAAGTCAGATCATGTCCCTCCTCTGCTCCAAACCCCCAAGGGCTCTCTCCTCACCAGTCACAGTCCTTACAATGGCAGTGCAGCCAGGTGCCACCTGCCCTCCTCCTCTTGTCCCCTTCACCCATTCTTTCCAGCCCCAGCACCCTGGGGTCCCTCCAGGCATGCTTGCACCCCAAGGCCTCTGCCTCTTCCCTCTGCTGGGAGTCCTCCCCACCCGGGTAACCACATGGCACCTCCCTTACCTCTTAGGGTCTGCGCTCCTGTCTCACATCTCGGTGAAAAGGCAGGTTGGGTCCATTCCACACATGCTTGGGGCTGGCGGAAAAATGAGATGTTAGTCTGCGGACAGGTGAGAGCTAGTGAGATTCACTGGTCCAGGCCAACACCCAGGCACAGGTTTGAATGGCACAGCACTTGTCCCAGGACCTTGCCCTTCCTTTCTCAGGGCCTCTGTGTCTCCATCTGCATAGTGGAGATAATAGTGCCTATGTCTCTGGACTGCTGGGAGAAAATGAGGTGATGATGATGCAAATAGCGGCACATGACTACCATTTCCCAAGCGTCTGCCGATAGGACATTCAATTTAAAATTTTTAATTGACAATACACAGAGCATACATACAGTTCACTGTCTCAACTGTTTTTAAGTGTGCAGTTCAGGAGTGTAAGGCGCATTCACGCTGTTGTGCCACCCATCTTCAGATCTTTCCAACTTGCAATCGGAAACTCCATACCCAAAGTGCAACTCCCCATGCCCCTCCCTCAGCCCTGGTGCCGCCACTCCGCTTCCTGTTCCTGTGATTTTGACTGAGTGCCTCAGTGACTAGTTAACCAGAAAAGAGGAAGAGAGAAAGAGAATGCCACGTGCGCGCACACACACACACACACAGGCACACACATACACACATGCACACACACACACATCGGATTTGACCTTGGCCTTCACTGGCTGCTCCAAGTTTTTGTTTGTTTGTTTTTGTTTTGTTTTGCAAAGGCCACCACTGGCCAGCATGTAAGAAAAACAAAAGAAATGTGTTCTTGCGTGTGATGGACTAAGGGCCCAGGTGTGGAGTTCTGAGGATAAGTTCAAGGATTTTCAAGGACCACGGTGACCATACTCGGTTTTCTCCTCGGCGCTGCTGTTGGACCCTCTCATGTCCCCGAGAAGAACGCCCACATGCTGTCTATGCTGTGAGTCGGCAAATCCTGGCTGAGCCCCTACTGTGGGCGCTTGCAGGCTGAGGACAGATGTGTGCAGAATGACTGTCTGCCCCCCGCCCCTGACAAAAATAACCCAGCCAGTGTTTTCTCTGGTGACGGGTTATGTGACCAGCTGGACAAGAGTCGTCATCACAGAGCATGCAACCGAGGTCCTACCAGAGAAGAGTCCCTGTCCAGCCCATGGCTGGTCTTTGCAGTCTTGCCACCCACGGGTCAGTGCTCGCCCCACTCTCCTCACTGTGTCCATGTTGTGTCCCTGAGAGTCGGGGCCCTTCTGGGTCAGGTGCAGGCTTTGGGGTCCTTATAGTGCCTGGGCAGGAACAAGACCCCCAGGAGACCCCTGGGAGCTAGGGGCTGCCCCCTCCCTCAGTGACCTCCTGAGGCCCGGGTGCTGCTGGACGAGCTCTGTGCACAGGAGGGGCCCCGAGGGCAGAGCCCCAGTGGCTGGGACCAGCAGGGTCTTCTCTCCATGGTAACCCAGCACCCTCTCCTGGCATCAGCCTGGCTCCTCAGACGCACCCAAGAACCCAGTTCAGCTTTGAACTGGGTCCTGATCCCTGGTCAGACCGAGGGGTGGAGGCACCTGACATACACAGTTCAGGTGGCACATGCCCTTTGTGCACAGCTGCCACCACCCCCTGCAGCTGGAACAGTTTGGGGCCCAGCCCATGTGACGGGACCATGCACAGAGTTGGAACCATGGGCACCTCTGTCCCACCATCAGGGACAGCTGAAGACTCCTGTCTGTCTCGCCAGCCCTTGTCCATGTTGTTGACAAGACCACGTGACTTCAGGCCCAGGCTCTTTCCCACTTCACTACAGAGGCTCAGGGATGGCCCTGAGCCTTCCTGGATTCGTCCGGCTAACGTGGGGCCTGCCACTCCTCTAGGGTTTTACAGCTCGGTATTCCCGTGCCTGTGCCCTTGACCCGGTGGGTCAGGGTGGGAGGGGATGATGCTGGGACGTCCGTGCCCCCACCCCCCGACTCCCCAGCAGAGCTCCCTCGGGACCCCTTTGGCTCTGAAACAGCAGGCACCACCACTCCCCCCCACCAGAGACTGGGGACCACTCTCCGGAATTTGCCCCCGCCAGATGATGGGTTACAGGCTTGTTGGTGGTCTGCCTCCCCCACTAGAGAAAGCTCCGAGAGGGCTTTGGCTTTTGTATTGTGTTCCTGGACGTATCCTGGAACAGGGCCTGGCAGAGCAGGTGAAAGAATGAATGAAAGAACAGTCCCCCACAGCTAAAAATGACTTCAGCATTATTTTTTTGATGAAGGACCATACGATTTTATATCAAGCGGGGTCCCCATATTTGCAGAAAAGCTACCCCTACAAGTAGATTTCATGAATGAGCACCTGTCCAAGCGACCTTGGACCAGTCAGTCCCTGAGGGCCTGGGTCTTACGGTCCAGGTGGTGTACAGGGCACAGGCAGAAACTTCCCAGCGGTGAGTGTCTAATTCCACCTGAGCTAAACTTCCCACGTACCCGGGGTGCCTTTTTGCCTGGGGTACTAGTCTAGTTTGAGCTCGGATCTGAAGGATGAGGAGGTGGTAACCTAGGAAAAGTGAGAGGAGGGAGGAGGAATGGACTGGAAGAGCAGGCGCAAAGGCCCTGGGGTGGGAGGGGCCGAGTGCCTCGGGCACAGAGGGCTGTGGGCAGAGTGGTTTGAGGAAGGCTGAAGGGGTGGGCCGGGCAGGGGTGGGGCCCAGACTGTGCGGCCTTGTGGTCCACGTTAAGGTTTTTGTTCTTTATCCCAAGAAAATGAAAAGCCACAGCAGGGTTTATACAGAAAGGCTATGATCAGATCGGAGGGTAGCTAAGTGGAACGTGGGATGGATCCCCCCTTCCGGCCCCGTTCTGCCTGCTGTGTACATCCAAGGTAGTGGGACCCCCACCTCATCGGCAGCCCCAGTTTAAAACACATAGCAGTCTCCTCAGGTACCACGTGTTCAGGCCTGGGTGGCTGATGCGGCCACTGCAGCTTGGTGCTCCCAGGGCAGGGAGAGAGGGTTTCAGGCCAATGAGAAATTCTATGGGCTCTGACCTTGATAAGCTCCCAGGCTGAGCTACAGCACCGAGTCAGTCGGCTCTGCCCCTCCAACCGCTCCTGGGCCTTAGGCCAAAAAAGCAAAAGGGCTCCCGAAGTGGCAGGCGCCACACAGGGCTCTTTGTGGTTTCAGCTCCTTCTATCCTCATGACAACCTCGGGCACAGGTAGTTCACAGCTGAGGACATTTGAGGAGGCTGCAAACTCAGGACCTGAGCCCACACCTGTCTGGGGCTGCACGTGTGCTGCCCAGGCTGGAAAGGCTAAAATGCTGACGGCGACAGGAGCATCCGTTTGTGGAGCCGGCAGGGGGCCTCCGTCTGGGTGCCTGGAGCTCAGCTCCTCCACCACCGCCTCTTTCCTTTCTTTACCAAGAGCAGTAACAGGTTATCAACTCGGTTCCTAGTGGCTCCGAAGCAACCCACCTGAGCTCACACCTGCTTTTACAAGGCTTCTGACAACGACGGCACTTGGGATTGTGCTTTATCATTTGTGGAGCATTTTCACCAACTCTGTGAAGTATCATGACCCCCATTGTATAAGAAAACAGGCCCAGAGAGGTGCAGTGATGGTGATGAGATCACACAGCTAAGAAGTGGCAGTGGCTGGTTTCCAGGCTCTGAGGTTAGTTTAGAACTTCCTCTGGACCAATCCCTATCCACCTAGCAGCCCCCCCCCCCCAATCCCTGGGGAATGGGGTGAAAGCTCAGGGTGGCAGAGCATGTCCAACAAACAAGGACCAAAGGCTCAGAGGGCTGGAGGCTGTGAGGTTCAGTCTCTGTCCTCTTGACATACTTCCCAGGTTGGGGAGATTCCAACGGTCTCTCCTTCCTGCCCAGCTCTCCCCACCCCCAGCCTCCCCACCAAACGGGAGGGTTCTGTTCCACTCTCTGGAGTGTACTCCTGGAAGACAGCGCTTGTTCACTGCTCTATCCTCAGTGCCTAAACAGTGCACACATCAGCACATAGTAGGTGCTCAATCAGTATTTGTTGAAGGAACAAATGGATGCCCCTAAAGCTTACAGGGGTTTTGTGTTTCTGCAGTGACATGAACACTGGTTGGGTTAGGGAAAGAAGAGGGAGCCTGTGTACTCCTACTTTGTGTTACTAGTGTCCAGGCCAAGACTCTGGCTCTAGCCTGGCTGGGCCCCGACTCCCTGGGTGACCTCAGGGCAGGGCAGAGAAGGACACTGTGAGAGCCTACTCTGCACCAGGCACTGGGTCAGGCTGTGGAGTGGGGTACCCAGGTCCTTACCCTGTTCTCCTTCCTTGCTGTGTGGTCCTGAGGAAATCACCCATCTTTCTGAGCCTGTTTTCTTAGCTGTAAAACCCACTCTAAACTTCGTAGCAGTAATTCCTCCCTCTAACAACAGCAGCTGGGCGAGGAGACACGGCCAGCCTGTAACACTGGGGGCCTGGGCTCTTCCCTAGAGGTTTCTCCCAAACCACCTCCATTTCAGTGTCTGCTGTGAGCTCAGAGGCCACAGGGGTAAGGAAAGAAAGGGCGATGGCTGCCCAAAGCCTTCCCCATCAGTAGCTGGTGTGGTGCGTGGAGGGGCTGCGTGGGACCGGGTGAAGCCCAGTGAACCCGTGTGTGACCTTGAGCAAGTCCCTTTTCCAGCTCAGCAGAGCAGCGGGCTCATTTATCAAGCGAGGTGCTGGGTGATCTCTAAGGGCTCCCAGCTCTGAGCTGGCAAGCAGGAGGTAGTCCCTACGCCCTGCCCAGCCTCAGTTTCCCCAGCCACCGTCCCACGTGATTTCTAAGGGCTCTTCCGGCTAGGAAAGAAAACAAGCAACAACCAGGCCGCCTTGTCTCCGCGGCAGTCAGCGCTGGGGAAGTGCGCGGCCACTCCGGGTGAGTCCCGCGCCCACGAGCAGCGGGGCACGGGGTGGGGGGCAAAGGGCTCAGGGGTTGCCGATGCGGAGTGGCTCCGGCCGGAGCAGGCCCCTTACCTGGACGCTAAGGCAGCCGCAGCGGCGCGAAGACGAAGTAGGCTCCACCCGCCCGGCTCCTCCCCCGCCCCGGCCCGGCCGGCCCGCGCTAGCTCCGGCCGGTGCCGCTGCCTGCCTGGGGCTGCCCGCCCCGGGTGCGCCTGGCCCCGCCGCCCGGCGGACGTGCGTAGGGACAGCGGGGTCTTCCGGGCTCCAGCTCGCGAGTTTCAAGTTCCCCACCGGCTCGTCCCGCCGACACTGCGCCGCAGGGGTGCGGGCTCTGGAAGTGACGGGCCTGTCCCGGCGCGAAACTGGGGTTGTGGGTGTATTTGCCCTGCAGGAAGCAGCGCAGGGCAGGGCGCGAGGGTAGGCCTTGCAGGCAGGGTTGCCTCTGCAAGAAAGTGCCCGAGAGGCGTCCGGGCCGGGAGTGGAAGGACAACAGCGACCTGAATGGTAATCTTCCAAAGTAAATTAGGAAAAGTCAAAGCACCAGCCACAGAAACACCCTTGCCGTGTGCACCCTGTTGAAGTTTACAGTGTTGAGATATCCATGCGCTCCCCGATTTTTCTTTCGGTTTCTCTAAAGCTAACTTTGGTTCGGTCTCAGGACCTTCGCTTTTGAGGTGCCTGTGCCTGGCACTCTGCCACCAGAACTTCCGCTTCCTGCGTATGTTACCAGCGGCTGGCATCTGCGAGTCTTCCCTAACCACCCGGCAGACTCAGTCATTGAACAAATGTTTGAGCACCTACTATGGGTCTAGTATTATAGAACTAACCATGAATATTGTTTAGGGAACATTATCTTTTTGGCTGGCTCTGTGTGCTTTTCATACATGTTTTATATCATTTAATCCTGTGCAGTTTATGCTATTATTAGCCCATTTCACAGGGGAATCATACCAGGCTTCCAGTCCTGTTCTACTTAGTATTTCACACTCTTTGGTATTGTTTGGGCCATTTTGTTTGCAGTTTATTATCTGCCAGCTCGACTAGCATGTAAAAGCCTGGAGAATGGGAGTCTCGGCTGCCTTGTCCTCAGCTGTGTGTCCAGCCCCAGGGACTGTGCCATGTACTTCATAGGTGCTTAGAGTCACTTAATGAACACATGAATGGGTCTTATTCCCCTAACAATCCTATACATTCTTATCACACTCGTTCTACAGAATAGGGGACTGAGGTCGAGGTCCAGCCAGGCAGAAGCCACAGGGCTAATGAGTTGGGGCCCCGAGCCACCGTGGCCACGACGGCTGCTGCTCCTTTGGTGAAGACAGTGCACTGCCCTGAGTGGAAGAGACAGTGAATGGGGTCAGAGACCAGCTGTCAGTGCAGAATCTGTGACTCAGGCGTGTCTCTGGAGAGTGCTCTGGGCCTTTGCCCGCTCATCTGCACACTGGCCAATCAGGACCAAGAATAGTCTGTCTGCCTACTGAGGTCACATGCGTCAATAGTGCGCACCCTTTAGGGGCATGGGGAGCCACATCTGAACGTGTGGGTCTTGTCGAGATGGAATATTAGTAACCACGTGGAAGTGATGCCAACAAAAGTGTCCAGCTGGACCTCCTCTCAATGTCTGGAGGCCCGTCCCAGCCAGACTGGCTAGGAGGGACCAGACATCATCGTGCATGCGTTTCAGCTTTGCCCTGTCTCCAACTTGGTTTGAGGTCCTGTGTTGAACACTGGTAACTCTGGACATTGCATCCAGTTATAGCCACGGCCCACTCTGCACCCCATCACTGGCACCCAACAGCACGCAGGACCTGAGCCTCACCCAAGGCTGCTGTGGGAGAGGCAGGAAAATGGGTCTTCCCTCCAGTGTACGCCTTTACAACTTCTGAGGTTTGGTGTTGGACTTTGAAGAATTTACCTTCCTCATCTGTAAAAGGGGATCATTATGGCCCCCACGAGGGCTGTCGTGAGGATTAAATGAGAATATACAGCTGAAGGGCTTTGTGAGGGTCTGGCACACAGGACGTGCTCAGTAAAAGTCAACTGTTCTCAGTCTTGGTGAAAGACATTTCTACTAAGAGGCCTTCCATCAGCTTGTCCCAAAGGAATGTTTAGGGGGTTGTGCTAGAAGGAGAAGCTGTTTCATGACCATTAACTAATTCAGCCAGAATCTACTGAGTAGTGGGTGAGGTTCTAGGCATTGCAGATACAGCAGGGGAAAGGCTGAAGTCACCAAATACAGCAAATAAAAATACAGGATACCTGGCTACATTTGATTTTTGGGTACACAACAAAGAAATACCTTTTTAGTAGGAGTATGTTCTAATATTGCCCAGAATATAGTTATACTAGTTTTCATTGCATATCTGAAATGCAAATGTAACTGGGTGTTCTATATTTTATTTGGCACGCCCCCAGAGATCCTGATTCTGCGGGTCTAGGGTTAGGCCAGGTATAGGTATCCTTCAGAAGCTCACCAGGTATTCTAATGTGTGCCCAGCATCAGGAAGCACTGATGGAGGGCCTGTGGATTTTATTCTGCGTGAGATAATGAGTTGTGAAGGGTTTGAGGCAGTGATGTGACAGGATCTCATTTTTAAAAAATATTTTATTTTTAGAGAGAGGGGAAGGGAAGGAGAAAGAGGGAAAGAAGCATCCTTGTGTGGTTGCCTCTGGTGCGCCCCCTACTGGGGACCTGACCTTGGCCTGCAACCCAGGCATGTGCCAAATCAAACCGGCAACCCTTAGGTTTGCAGACTGGTGCTCAATCCATTGAGCTACACCCGCCAGGGCTGATCTCTTGTTTTAAAAGGATCTCCCTGGCTCTTTCTGGAAGTCAGAGGGATATGAATGGACACAGGCAATCAGTCAGGAAGCTGTTGCAATACTCTGGGCCGTGTAGGGTGCCTACTGTGGGCACAATGGAAGTATGTGGTAGGGGCACAGGTTCTTGGGTCCTGCCCAAAGCTACCCATTTTAGAATTTCTCAGGGGTTTGGAAGCCCAGGAATTTATACTTTAACAAGTTCCCCTGGTGATTCTGACATGTTTTATATCATTCAATCCTATGCAGTTTATACTATTATTAGCCCATTTCACGGAAGAAGGAACTGAGGCTCCGAGAGGTTAAATACCTTGGCCAGGGTCACCAAGCTACAACATTAGAGCCAGGATTTGATCCTGGATCTGGCTGATTCTGCTATCCTGATCTCTCGTAGGTTTAAATATCAATACCGGTTTAAAGATTTTTGTGTGAGTTGCAGATAATGGATCCCCAGCAGAGGATGGAATTTGCTATGTCCCACAGATGTCCATCTTTCTGGGATGTAGGTGGGGCGTGGCCCGGCATGGATTGTTGTTGAATGGAATTGAATTTGGGGATGATTTCACTGAAGGTGGCCCTACATCTCTTCCCATAGAGCATCTTTATGATGCGGGTATGATGAACTTGAGACTGAACAACTCAGAAGATGGATCATAGTCACTTCTTTCCTAACGACGCTCAGAAATAAACAGTGCTCTGGTGGGGAGGGGCTGGACACACGTTCGAGGAATGACAGAGTAGAGGGTGTTGCAGGTGGTTCGTGGATATTGTTACATTGCTGAGCAATCTCTTGGGTCCCTAAGGCATCTTTGACCCACAGACTTAACCTCTTTTTGTTAATTGGACCATCAACTGGAATTGGCTATGCTATGTGGCAGGGGTTGGGGGTCAAAGCCACTTGGGTTAATATTTTCCTCCACTGTTCTTGTGTGCTAGGCAACAATTTTGTAGTCCTCTACCTTATCTCTTACACAGAGACTTGGGTGACAACCTCTACCTGCTTCTTACCTAAGAATGCTTTGCGCTTGCCCCTGGCCTGGTGTGTTCTAATGCAGAGACCCATATCACTGATGCATCCAAAGTACCTTTAGCTGGTACATGAACTTGCATTAGATCACTTTGGATCCTACATGAGAAAGTTGTTCCCTTCGTCCTTATTCTGTTGAGAACAGTTTGATGCTATTGAATCTTTTATTTTTTAAGATATACTTTTAATTTTTTTCTTGTAAACTACTGATAATCAAGGCCATTACTTAACTAATATTTAAACTCTTTTTCTTTGTGGCTTATAGGTTCACAAACAAGCAAACAAAAAGTGTATATAGAAAGAATTGCTTTTAAAAATAATTTTATCGAGATATTTTAGCATATAAATTATGTATATTTAAGGCACATAAGTTGATGTTTTGACGTGTGTATACCTTGTGAAGATTACTGCAATCAAGCTGAATAACTTACTTCCTCCCCCATGTGGCTACCAGTTGTGTGTGTGTGTGTGTGTGTAGATTTACTTTAAGATCAATTGTCTTAGCGAATTTCAAATATATGAGACAGTATTGTTAGCTGTACTCACATGCTGTACATTAGATCTCCAGAACTCATTCATCTTTTTTAAAAAGCTTTTATTTATTTATTTTTAGAGAGGGGAAGAGAAGGAGAGAAACATCAGTGTCTGTTTGCCTCTCACTGGGGACATGTCCCACCACAGCCCAGGCCTGTGCCCTGACCGGGAATTGAACCAGCGACCCTTGGATTCACAGGCCCGAGCTCAATCCACTGAGCTACACCAGCCAGGGCCCAGAATTCATTCACGTTGCATAACTAAAACTTTGCACCCTTTGGCCAATATCTCCTCATTTCTCCCTCCTTTCTCCTTAGCTCCTAGAAGCCACCATTCTACTCTCTAGTTCTATGAGCTTGACTACTTTTGACTACTTTAGATGCCATGCATGCGTGAGATGGTGTAGCATTTGTCCTTCTGGGTCTGGTTCACTCTTACTACGGTGTCCTCCAGTTTCATCCATGTTGTCACTATGGGAGGAGTTCCTTCTTTTTAAAGGCTGCATAAGACTCCACTGCACCCTAAAATTTGCTAATGATCCATTTTCATGAAGAAGGCCAGTCTCCAGCTCAGAGGCCTTGGCTGTCTAAGATACTGAGTTAGGATTCAATTATTCTGTCATTCATTTATTTAAGACACTTTTTTTTTATCGGGATTTTAGATTGACCAAAATGTTACACAGATTTTACAGAGTTCTTTTTTTTCATCTTAAATAATTTTTTATTTTTTCAATTATACTTAACATACAATTTTATACTAGTTCTTGTTGTACAACCCCGTGATTAGACATTATATAACTTGCTAAGTGATCACTTTGATGAATCTAGTACTCATCTGGTACTGTAGTTATGACAATATTATTGACTGTATCCCTCATGCTGTACTTTACATCCCCATGACTATTCTGTAACTACCAATTTGTGCTTCTTAATAACTTCATCTATCCCTTCAACCCACCTCCCATTTGGCAATTGTCAAAATGTTCTCTGTATCTAAGAGTCTGTTTCTGTTCTGCTTGTTCATTTATTTTGTTTTTTAGATCCCACATATAAGTGGAATTATATGGCATTTGTCTTTCTGTGTGATGTATTTCACTCAATGAATGTAATACCCTCTGTCTGATGTAATACCCTCTGAGTCCATCCACATTATTGCAGATGGCAAGATTTCATTCTTTTTTATGGCTCACTCATACTCCATTGTATATATATGTACTACT